GTCCTCATAAGTTCGTAACAAGCTCCCAACACTAAATCTACCCCTTACTATACTCTTTATATAGTATAGTCTCTTTTTTTTATTGCTATAGTTTTGCTCCATTTCACTATTTTAAGCATTATAAGCTCCCCTATATCACCGTTAATGTTGAGGAAGAAGGGGAGATAAAGAAGAAGGAAATAAAGGAAATGAGCTCAGCTATGAGATGACTTGAACTACTCAGCTTTAGGAATCTCGATTTCCTTCCTAGATTTATGCTTCATCCTTTACATGGGAAGAGGAGAACATGAGTCTCTGATAGACAGTCATCATCGGTCCTGGAGTGGTTCCAGATCAGATTTTTGTATGATTTTCCAAATGAACTGAAACATCCCTTGAAAGTCTAAGGTCAGTACAGTACTCCTCAACCCTCACTTGAGATGTACTCGACTAAGGTCATGTCCGAGATACTAGGTCTATACCTGTCGTGGGGCGTGCCATACCTAGGTGAACTCTGACCAGACCCAGTAGGACTGAGGCCAACCATGGTTGATAATCGAATTTGTTCATATGGTGAGAGACCGACGAAGTACACCAGCAGGCTCTTTACTTGTCAAAAGCCCTCCTTGTCCTGTTTTGGCATGTCATTTGCCTGTCAGATGTTTGTTACTTTCTATGGGAAGCATTTGACAAAAGACACTGATACAATGAAGATATGTAGGTTGTGGCCAAGGTGAGAGGTCACCACGAGGCTGTTGACTTAAATTCGTGAGGTCGTTATTTTTGTTAGTCTGTCCTCCTCCGTGATTTTTTGTAGCCGTTGTTTGGTTTTTTTTTTTTTTTTTTTGTTTTTTTTTTTTTTTTTTTTACTTTTTTTTTTTTTTTTTTTTTTTTTGAGCATTCTTTTTGTATCCTTCCTCTTTCCTTTCCGTTGTTTTCATCGTGTTTTCTTGTTGCGTTCCTTTCTCCTCCTCTCTTCCATTTTCCTCTCCGCGGCGTTAAGGAGAGGAGTCTCAAGGGCAGTTAGACCCTATTCACTTGTATCAAGCGCATCTTAAACAAGGACCGCTTGCGAGAGAGCCCACGACATTCCGCCGACCGGAGAGAATGTTACTGGAGTGTCTTGTTAGTACTTACTACAAGCAAGACATGTTAACAAGGAATCCCGAACTTCAGGGCCATGGTATTTGCAAGAAGAGAATGAAGAGAAGATGGATAAAACGGCGCGTGGGAGATGAAGGGAAGTGGATAGCATGTTTCAAGTTGCCGTTGCCGTTATCATTATCCATACCTAAAATGTTACTTTCCTCAGATAAGTCATGCCATCGGGTCCGGGACATCCACCGGCTCGTAAGTCCCGTCGTAAGAGCACTTGCTTGCTGGGTCCGGATCGGCACCGAAACCTCCATATGCACGAAACATTATGGATCCTAAACGCGCCTGCCGCCGACTTATATGTTTCCTCTCGTGTTATCTCACATATGTAGCGGTGTGAAATACGAGTTCGAAGTTTCAAAATCTTGTTGAGGGGACGTCCGGACCCCATTCATAGGGTTTAGAAGCAGACAAAAGAAGTGGAGAAGTGGAAAGTGGAAAACTGACGACGATGACCGATGGACTCCAACCCAACCTGTCAGATAATAGGTAGAGGTAAACAAGGGGTCTCGGTAGTCAAAAAGTGGGACTTCGGATGCAGCTCCGGCAATGTCAACTTTCGCTTTCCCCCGAACGTCCCTGAGATAGCCGATCACCGGCTCCACCGGTGAGTGTCCGGGTCTCGAACTCCGTACTTGGCGGTTTTCGGATCCGGGGACGGGTCCACGGAAGGGGAACTTGGCAGTTGATGACGGGTTGTGAAGTGGAAAGATATGACGGGTAGTCGGGTCTTGATGACAATCATCTTGGCTATTACCAGTAAGGACCGTTCTTGGCTTGGCTGGCTGTTGGGTGGCTTATAACATCGGTAGTCATCATCGTGAGAGCAACAATGGAGTAAGGAACCCGGTTGGGTTGCATTCGCGTTGTTCTTCGGGAGCCGGTCGGTCATACGAACGGATTCCCGTCGTCGGTAGGGTCGGTCGGGTCTTGAGACTTGGATTCGGGTTGCTCCGTTGCTAAGCGCTATGGGTACCGCTCGGTACTAACCCAAGGCGTTTCGACGCTAGAAGTGTCAGCCATTTTAGCGGGCTGGTGATAGTGGGGCCGTGGTGTTGCTGCAGCGAAGGAGCAACAAAAGCCAGGCATTGACATTGACGTCATGCCCAGGCGATTGATCAACGTCGTGAAACTGGGGGAAAGGGGGGACCAGTCTTGGTGTTGAAAAAGGTCAGCGGTGAGGTCTCTGTATTGTACAATAATTTGACAGACTTAAGATTCATGTAATGAAGTCAACGGTGGACCATGAAGCAGAGGGTTGAAGTATTGGTCAAAGAAGATGTGCCTGCCCTGTTTCCATCTTGGGTAAGGTTTCAAGTGTCTGCTTACACCGGAAGTGGGGCTTCAGGGGATCAAAGGCCTATTCAAGGGTTCCTACAGCAGGCCCAGGTCCCGCGAATTCGCAATCAAGCATCCGGTCCGGTGACATTCCCGTCGCTTATCGATTAGAGGCGAAGGGGACTCTGGTGGTGGCCCCGCAATTGTCGATGTCTAATCATCCAAGAAGGGAACACCAAGGTCGGTTGGTAGGTCGGCTGTGAAAGTAACAGGTTGGGAAATAGAGGCGCACCTATTGGATGTCTTGTCCGTTCTCAAGAGCCGTGGACAATTGCTAAGACTGGTTCTCCATCTGTCCGTTGTGCCCAAGTTCCGGTCTCCCCCGCATTGATGTTATCGAGGTGTGCTGGATGATGTGCGTGTGCTGAGACGGCCCGGGGATAACAGGTACAGCATCAAGCTATGACTTGTCAGTGACAAGAGGTGCAATCAGCACGTGCACATGTTGATGTCAAGATTGCTTTTGCTGTGGGATGGGTGTTTTGATGTCGAATGTGAATTGTTAGACATGAGATGTGAAGAGGAAGGAACACCAGCTCACTAATTAAACATCTGATAGACAGACACGGGATGGAAGAGGGCAACTGCGATTGTGAAGAGAGCACCTTGATGGCCTCTCAATTCGAAATCGTATCATTAGTTGAATATGCTTGCCTTGCACTCATCCTTTATCAACCTCAAACAACCTACTGTAAGTAAGCCTACATCAAATCATTCCTTCCATCCATCCACCATCCCGCCCAGGTTGTGCTTCATTCCTCCATATTGGCACATGAAGATCCGGGGTTACCACACTCTTCCAAGACTTCCCTCTGCCCCTCCCTTTCCCCCGTCCAGCCCGGCCATTGGTCCCTCCTCCACTTATACGCCGCGAAACTGTGTAGGTGGTGTATGGGAGCAACCCGGATGAAGGCAAGTCATTCAGTCGTACTTGACCATCTTGTATAAATAAAAGGCCGATTCCCGTCTCCTCATCAGATGATGGATCTGTAACCCGAACCATTATAACCTTTGCCGCGGCCCAGGAACTTCCCCATCTTTCTTCCTTTGTTTGGTTGCTCCTCTCACGTCAGAAGCATCTCTTGTTTTCCCATTTGCACGCCGAGTCGTTCAGTGAAGACGAAACCAGACCTCAAGTTACGACAAAGAATCAACCAAAACTCAACACCATTCCATCCATCTTCGACCAAGTCGCTTTTCCTAAACGAACCGAACCACACCTTCAAATCAATTGCTGTCGTATTTCTGGTTGTTACCAACGACTATTCGCCGCTTTTACTCGACCGTCCGTCAAAGTCCTTAAGACCAACCGTGCAATACAGAGCACGCGACCCCGCTCTGACATTTCGGTATCACATTTCACATCCAACCGCGAGAGAGCTTCATAAGCTTGCAGTACGACCGGCGCATACGGATACCAATACAGTTGACAGGACATTACCCGTTATCGAAGAATACCAAAACTTGCCTTTCGTCCCAAGTCTCTCTGCCAGCTTCGTACGCAAGACGGAAAAGCTACCAGGAGGCTCCCTACACTTGCGAAAAGAGACCGTTTCCATCCCGTAGTAAGTTCGATCCATTGCGTGCATCCCGTCTCATCATTTCATACTACCCCAAGGTCTGTGACCTGGAGATGGTGCCATGGATCATGGTTAGTAACCACAAATCCACCTTTGAGCATCCCAGTGACTTTTTTGTTTTTTTGTTTCGGCAGAGAAGAGAGCTTTCATGGTAAACCCACACAACCCATTCTCAAATCACAACGACATCCCCAAACTGGAGTCCCCATATCCATCCATATCAGCTACCCCCGGCCACCTCCCCGTTCCCCACATCCCCAGTTGAGCCCTGCCGAAGCCGCAAAAGTAGAATCCTGGAAGTGTTCCTTGACCAGCCCGGCCCACCTCACCAAATTGTCCTGCATGCAGCAGCTGGTAGCAGCAGCAAAAGAAGAACGGGAGTCCCGAGCCCCTACCTTTCCCGATGACCACCTCCCCCAGAAGCTCCATAGTTGCTCAACAAGTCGTCAACAAAGTCATAGCTCTCAGGCGGGATGACAGAGAGCTGGCTTCGATTGGGTTGGGTTTGCCGAACAGGTCCCGAAAAGCTCCCTCCCTTTCCTGTTCGGGTAGCTCCCATATGATATGATTCCTCTTCTATCCAAGGCCGTCCGTCAAGATAGCCGCCGCCGCCACTGGAGCCTCTCCTCCCGGGAGGGACCCGGACAATGGCATCAGGGGACTGACGGCATACATGACGGCTTACCTGTTTCTCTTTTTTCTTCCTTCTCTCGTTGGTTCGGTTCACGTCCGATGGGGTCTTCTTTGATGTCCGGTTGCTGAAGCAATGATCCACGTTGCTGTCAGATATGGAGATACTTCTGCTGCAGAGGACAGAGAAGACTCCATATAAAAAGAGATTTGAGCTGGGGCTAACATGGCTTTAAGTCCTGCAGTACCCGCTAGGATCATCAACAAACATATAAGAGAGATTCCGGACGGACACATACACGTATCTGGTGTCCCTGTTCTACTCCTGTTCTTCCGTTCCTAAAATCTGCTGTCGATAAGTTAGTACCATACGCCTCAAAATCATAAAACACCATGTCCACCGTCAAGCAGTCCGCCCAGGCCGCAACAACGTCAGATGTCGTTGGCACAGCTAAGAGCGCCACGGCCGAGACGGTCACCGCCGCCACCGACTTCCTCCACACTCCCGCCGTTCGAGCAGCCCTCCCCTTCACCAACGGCGGTCTCAGCGGCATGGTGGCCACGACGGTCATCCAGCCCATCGACATGATCAAGGTGCGCATCCAGCTCGCCGGCGAGGGCAAGGCCGGCGGCCCCAAGCCGACCCCCCTCGGCGTCACCCGCGACATCATCGCCAGTGGAAAGGCCATGGACCTCTACACCGGCCTCTCAGCCGGTCTCCTCCGCCAAGCGGTATACACCACGGCCCGCATCGGCTGCTTCGACACCTTCATGGGCCGGCTCTCGGCGCGGGCCAAGGAGAAGGGCCAAACGGTTGGCTTCTCGGAACGCGCCTCGGCCGGTCTCGCAGCCGGTGGTCTCGCTGCCATGATCGGCAACCCGGCCGATCTCGCCCTCATCCGCATGCAAAGCGACGGTCTCAAGCCCGTGGTCGAGCGCAAGAACTACAAGTCGGTCATCGACGCCCTTGGCGGCATCGCGCGCAACGAAGGCGTGGCTGCCCTCTGGGCCGGCGCCGCCCCGACAGTGGTGCGCGCCATGGCGCTCAACTTTGGTCAGCTGGCGTTCTTCTCGGAGGCGAAGGCACAGCTGAAGGCTAGGACGGAGTGGTCGAGCAAGACACAGACGCTCAGCGCGAGCGCCGTGGCCGGGTTCTTTGCCAGTTTCTTCAGCTTGCCGTTTGACTTTGTCAAGACCAGACTGCAGAAGCAGACCAGAGGCCTGGATGGAAAGCTGCCGTATAATGGCATGGTGGATTGCTTTGCTAAGGTGGCGAAGCAGGAAGGGATCTTCAGATTTTATAGAGGGTTCGGGACGTATTATGTGCGGATTGCGCCGCATGCGTAAGTTCTTCCTTTCTTTTTCCCCCCGTGACTTGGTGAATGGATTTGAGCTGACGATGATTTGTATAGCATGGTAACGCTGCTTGTTGCTGATTATTTGGGTTGGTTGACCAAGTAAGCTGGTGATGCCGTGGTGATGGAGTGGACTCGCATAGAATAACTGTTGGGCGTTTTGGGAGGCTCAGTACTGCCCGGATTTTTCTTTGTGGTTTATCCTGGTTATGGCTCATGCCGTTTTCCTGACTGTTTTATGGGATGGCTTTTCGTATGCTGTTTTGTCTTGTTCGTTTATACCTTTCCTGTTAGTCTTGCTTGTTAGAACATCCCTTGACGTACGTAGCTGTTTTGATGTTATTATCGACTGCTAGTGACGTCCACATAATGTGTGATCAAGGTGTTGTAGTTGAGAAATCTCGACATTCTGTGCAGGCAAATTCTTGGATAATTGCCATCTCTCGATATTGAAGATTACAGAAACTGAGTGTTCAACACCATGATCATGTCGTGAGAAAATTGTTGTGAGTTGCGAATAGTGTCCTTTGCAAACATCAACCGACCTCGGTTTTGACTTTCGATAGCTCCTGCTAGGGACTTGGCAACCTTGGCGCTGCAAGCGTTGGAGATCCAAAATCACAGGGGATTCCCATGAGGTGATCGCTAAAACTTTCAGGGTCAGCGCTGTAGACAGCAGGGGAAGCTTCGTTGGACGGGAGGATGCTGGTACCTTAGCAGTCCAAGAGTGAGGACTACCGAGTGTCAGGGTTACAGGTGTGAAAAGGCAAGGGTTGGTAGTGAGCGGGGCACGAGCACCTCGAGAGCTGCAGCCCAGGCCCTGACGGTACGTATCTTGGCGGGGAGATTGGAGTCGGACAATGGATTCGCTTCACAACTGAACCAACATCGTCCTTCTTTCACCAATTCACCACTGCACACTATTCCTCAACCCGACTGCAGTTCTCCAACTGCGGGAACATTCTTTTGCTTCCAAGCAGTATTCCCTTGCACCAAAGATGACATACTAGACGGAACATGGATTCTCGGGATTGGACCCAGGCAAGTCGTTGTGCATCCCGTCCTCTCTTCTCCCTCCCTCCCTCCCTTCCCTCAAGGTCCTCGCTCGACAAGACAGACCTCTGGCTAACACTTTTCTTGTTCCCTACTACAGCTGGGCTGTGTTGCCTTCCCGCCGCCACTCCATCCAGATTACCATGCCGGACCCGCGTCGACGATAGCCTTCGACAACCAAGATGAGCTGCTATGGATAGGCACCCAGAAGGGCTTTGCCGGCTCCTTCATCGGCCGCGAGCTCAAGCGATTCACTGCCTTCCGGGTGCACCCCGAGACCGACGGGCCCCTGCGTCAATTTCTCTTCGTCGACAAGGGCGTCATCTTCCTCGGCAGCCGGAGCGTCTACATGGCAGCACGTAGCGGCGTGCCCATCTGGAGCATCCGCCACGAGTCCATGCAGGATCTGCGCGCCATGTCCTTCACTAGTAAGGGGACGTCTGAGATCCTCGTGGCCGGCTGGCAGAACAAGATGTTGGTCATCGACGTAAACAAGGGCGAGGTCGTCAAGGAGCTGCCCACACAGGACCACTACTCATTCCTCAAGATGAGCCGGTACATTTGCGCCGCAACGAACAAGGGCACCGTCAACATATTGGACCCTATCAACTTCACTATCAAGAAACAATGGCAGGCCCACGGAGCGTACATCAATGATCTGGACACCTCCAACGACTTCATCGTTACGTGCGGTGGCTCGCACAGGCAGACGCACAATACCCCGGCTATACTAGATCCTTACGTGAAGGTCTTTGACTTGAAGAACATGAGTGCTATGAACCCGGTGCCGTTTGCGCCGCTGGCCGCTCACGTCAGGATGCACCCGAGGATGTTGACGACGGCTATTGTCGTCAACCAGGCGGGCCAGATCCATGTGACGGACCTGTTGAACCCAAGCAACAGCCAGGTCTGCTACACGCAGCCTCAGGGCGTGGTGCTACATTTCGATGTGTCGAGAACCGGAGAAGGGAAAGCGCTTGCGGATAACAAACACAACACTTACATCTGGGGTTCGCCCAACAAGATCCAGTTCACGGAGATAGGAATACCGCCCCGGTTGCCGGACCCTCCTCAGCCGTCGTTGTTACCGCCAGACCCAGACATGCTGGACGAGCTACCCCTGAGCCGCATCGGCTTGCCTTTCTATCGTGAGCAGCTCTTCTCGGCCTTGCCGCCGGATATTATCTCCGATGTGGGCGCGCCTCCGCAGCAGGTCGATCCGAACATTTTGAGCACCTTGACCAAGACCGAGTGGGGATACATTGGCCCCAACAAGACGGGCTTGCAGAGAAACCAGTACATAGATACCCGGCCTACCATGAAGACTTCCAATACGATACGGGCGCCAAAGTTCCTGAGTGAAAAGGCTCGCGAGGCACAGGCTGCCTCGGAAGATCACAACCACCACCTTGTGACGACCGAGACGGCGGTGACGACGCCGAACAACGATCATTGGAGTTTGAGGCCGGAGGCACCACCTGAATATAGGATATGCGAGATTAAGTACAGCAAGTTTGGTGTGGATGATTTTGACTTTGGGTGAGTAGACATATCTGGATATTTTTTGGGTTAACGTGCTAACGCAGGTGGTAGCTTCTTCAACAACACACAATACCCTGGCTTGGAGAACAACATAACAAACTCCTACGCCAACTCCCTACTGCAGGTCATGCACTACACCCCTCTGTTGCGAAACATGGCACTTCAACACGCTGCTACGGCCTGTCTAGCTGATCCGTGTCTGTTGTGCGAGCTGGGTTATGTTTTTGACATGCTGCAGAAAGGTGAAGGGCCTTCTTGCCATGCTACTAACATGCTCAGAGCTCTTAATCATACCAGCAACGCCTCTGTTAGTGGTGTCCTCGAGGAGAATGCCAAAGACAAGAACCCCAGCACGCTGGTGAAGAACCTCACCATGTTCCTTTTTGACAAGATCAGTCAGGACTACAAGGGCACCCCTCCAATTTCTACCGAACTCGAGAGGACCTTGTTCAAGCTTAACCAACCTCCGAACCCTCCTGATCTGGTCAAGAAAATGCTAGAGACCGACGCAAGGTACCAAATCAAATGTATGCACTGCCAACATGTCAGTCCAAGGACTGCGACGACATTTGTCAACAAGCTCTCCTACCCGACAGCAAAACCAAACATCCGCGGTATGAAAGCCCAACGCATCACCTTCTCGCAAGTGCTCAAGGCCGGACTCGAGAACGAGGCTGTAAATAAGGGTTATTGCACCAAGTGCCAGCGCTACCAAAACCTCGACCAGCGCAAAATTATCTTCAACATCCCGGCTGTCTTGGCGCTCTGCACTGAGATTACCACTGCTGAGCATCGCAAGCTGTGGTCTACCCCCGGATGGCTGCCTGAGGAGATTGGTATCATAGTTGACCAAGGCCATGTTTACTGCTATGAAGGGGATGACCTCAAGTTGCACCTCAACAGGGGGATACATAACATTACGGTATATTCGCTGGTGGGTACGGTGGTTAATGTTGAAACGAAGAGTCCGTCCAAGAATCACTTGGTGGCTACTGTCAATGTTGGACGAGCAGAGCCGGAGACCAAGGACCAGGATCGCTGGCACTTGTTCAATGACTTCTCAGTACGAAGCATTTCCAAGGTGGAGGCCCTCACTTTCAATAGCGCTTGGAAGATGCCGGTCGTCGTCATGTTCCAGGTCAAGGCTGCCAACCATCGGTTCAATATGGACTGGAAGACACGTCTGGATACCTCCGTCCTCTTCAGGGATAACAACCCACACGCTCTCAAGACATACGAGCTACTCGACCGGGAGACAGAGATCCCCGGTCCCGACACTGTCATCGCGATTGATACGGAATTTATTCGACTTAAGGAGAGAGAGATCCATATTGACGAAGACGGAAAATCTAAAACCATCCGGCCCATCTCGCACGCCATTGCGCGTGCCTCGGTGGTCCGGGGCGAAGGTGCCAGAGAAGGCGTTGCGTTCATTGACGATTACATCCACATCAAAGAGACCATCGTCGACTACCTCACCGAATGGTCCGGCATCACGCCCACTGACTTGGACCCTATCAACTCACAGCGCAATCTGGTTTCTCCCAAAACTGCTTACAAGAAGCTCTGGGTCCTCGTCAACTTGGGCTGCAAGTTCCTCGGCCACGGCCTCAGCCAAGATTTCCGCGTCATCAATATCCAAGTGCCTAGGAATCAGGTTATCGATACGTCTATCATCTTTATGAAGCCGCCTTCCCAGCGCAAGATCTCGCTCGCTTTCTTGGCCTGGTATCTGCTCAAGGAAGACATCCAACAGAACACCCATGACTCAATCGAAGATGCCCAAACAGCTCTGAAGCTGTACAGGAAGTACGAAGAGTTTATGGCTAACGGGAGCTTCCACGACGTCCTGGAAGCGCTCTACAAGAAGGGCAAAACACTCAACTTCAAGCCGCCACGTATTTCCACCGGCGCAGCCAAGGATGTCGTTGGTTTCGGGACAGTCCACCGCGTCAGCACCCCTCCCGTTCCCGCACCCGGAACGTCCGAGGGAACGTTTGAAATTACCAGCTCAACAGCATCAGCAACAACAATCGGTAGCGTCCTCTCCGCCACCGGCGGCGTGGGAGTAGGAATGGGAATGGGAGGAACCGCAAGCGCGAGCAGTAGTATGCCCTCCACACCCGTCAGGAAACCCATCGGTCTCGGCGGACCGTTTACCGTTGCTGGTGGCGCAAAGCCAACAGGCTCGGTTACTAGCGTTGAAATGACTGCTCTCGGCGCTAGTGCTGCCGGTGCGGGAATCACAGCGTCAGCGGCAGGAACAGGAACAGGAACAGCGGGTAGTGCTAATACTCCTGGATACGGTGGTTACGGAACGGATGGCGCGTATTGGGGCGGACCAAATGATATGGCGCCTACGAGCATGGTGGGAGGATCATCAGCGTTTGTACCTGCGAAGCTACCGCCGGGACCGCCGGGACCGCCGGAGTCGAGGTTTATTCCTTATAGACCGCAGGTGTTGGTTGCGGAGAGGGAGGCGGCGGCGGCGGCGGCTGCTGCTGCTGCTGCTGCGGAGGTGGGTGGTGTTGGTAATGATGTTGGCGCTGGTGATGGGGTTAGAGGTATTGGTGGGGAACAGGGGAGGCAAGAGTAGAATGGTTCTTCTCCTGTTGTTGGTGGTGATGGAGGTGGTGGTACCGGTGAAGGGTCTTCTTCTGCTGTCGACGACGAATGGTTGTTTCCTGCTGTCGACGAAGGCTCTTCTTCTTCTGATGTCCTGAAAGGTTCTTTTTCTGCTGTCACGGATGATTGGGAACAGGAAACGCAAGGGGAAGCATATTCTACTCCTGCTATCACAGATGAAGAAGAACAGGAGAAGCAAGGAGAAGCCTCTGCTGCTCCTCCTGCTGTAGCAGCAGCGGCGGCGGCGGCGCCTTAGAAGGGCTGGAAAAAGGCAAAAAAATCGGGAAAAGTCAAGGAGCAGTATAAAGCCGGTCATGATCTTAAACTGCCATAATCACCACCGCCACCACCGCCACCACCGCCTCTGGCGAGCGAGGAGACTTTGGATGTGACTGATGATGACCGGTGAGCGTTGGGGTGGGTGGTAGGATACTGAGGTAGGATACCGAGGTACTGCACCTACTGTACCTACGTTAGAAAGACGCATGAAGCATGAAGCGTTGCGGGTAGAAGTATAGTATGGAGTATGGATATTCCCAGCGGTAGATAGGTATAGGTGTAGGGTGGTTATTGTCACAGTAAATAGATGGTAACGATGAATTGATCGAAAGCGAAGATAGTTGAGTACCTCTACATGTCAACCTTTGGCGATTCCTGGCCAACCCAATTCCAAAAATGCTGTATTTATTCGCATCCAGCCCAGGCGGGGCACTCGCTCTTTGCGTGGTTTTTCATCTTCTTACAAACATCCATCAAATACTCTTCCTAATGCTCGGGTAAACCCGTAAAGTGCAGAGTAAACTCCAGTCTACTTTGTGGCTGTTCCTCTTCCATCCCGCCCTCTTAAAATCTTGTTCGATAAGGCGAGGGACCGCAGCATGGTAAGTGCGAGAGTCTCACAACAGTGCCCTTTATCTCAATTTTCTTGCTTTTCTTGTCTGGAGGTTTCCTACTTATCTGCCGAGACTGCCTGCCTGCCTCACCTGTCTCCGTTGTTGGTAATCAGAGAGTGATACACAGACACCTTTTGATACATAAGTACTGAGTGAGGCATGAGAAGGAGCAAGATAAGGTAAGCTAAGCTACTGCAGGGGACGGGACCTACATACATACATACCTCGCAGCACCAGACTCGCAGGCAGTTGCAAGAACCTGTATTCAGATATGTGGCTGTGTCAATGCAGTATTCGCATTCGCAAGAGTTCAAGCCGGGTTTGAACGCAACAAATGGTTTGTCACGAGAGCGTTTCTATGCATTAGGGCTACCAATATCATGCGTTCCGTGCCAGCCGGCTGAGAGTCAAGTGCTCAGAATGCGCGCACAAAATTTGTTGATATAAATGGGAGTACGGTAGGACGGGAAGACCGATGTTGGCAACGATACCTACACACTTCGACAAGGGCACGATCACGATATCTTTGTGGACTTCAACTACGTAGGCCGTCGTACGAAGTTCAACAGGACATCAGACGGACTTCAACAAGGCCAGTACACGATCTTTGACCGGCTTCGACCAATATCTCATTACTAACATCACCAGCGCAGCGCCTTGCCACACACCTGTCGCTCACTCCTCATTCAAATAAAGGCAGATTTGATTCTGAATAACCAGTCTGTGTTGGTAGTCAAATTAAACGGACCACATCAAGCAACTACAGTAAGTGTCACACATCACAGAGAACTCCGAAGAACCCCCAGGACTCCAAGAATCTCGCCAAGGCAAAAGGGTTCCCAACACTTCTCAGCATCAGAATGTTCTTGGGCCGGAGGGAAGCTCAAGTTTCCACTTTTGTATCTTTGATGTGAAGAGCGATGTGTCGCTCGGATATTTCACCTTCCTCGTGTTATATTTCATAAACAGCACATACGGCCAAAATGGGAAAGGGGAACTAGACACAAGGCCATGCCAGTCGCTTTGGACTCCAATTCTTACCTCGACTGGAAGACCAACGAATTCACGTCACCAACCATTTGTACCCCTCACAAAAAGCCGGTATAATCCCATCATTATCATCACCACAGCAGAAACAAATGCCAGACGAAAACATTAAGGAGTTTCCCAGACTTCCAAAGGCCGCCCCTAGCATGCCTGGGAGCGCAAAAGCCGCAAATTCCAAGACGAAGACGACTGGCATTTTAACCCAGAGCACTTACATCACTCAGAAGTCCTGGGCGAAAATTGCTTCGGGTTTTCCTCGTGAGGCTCTTCCTCCTCGTCTCCCCCCTCCTTCAACTCATCTGGCCTTGGCTATTGCCGCTGCGGAAAGAAAAATAGTGTGCAGGCAGGAGCGAGTGAGAGTCCGACAACATGGCAGGAGCAAAATCACAAAAGTAGCCGAGGACTCCATACTAGGGCCATAGTTGGCCGCATGTGTCTATTGCCCCTGGCGTTGGACGTTGACTCGGGAAAGGGGGTGCATGAGTCTAAGAAGGAGCATCAGATGGACACGCCGAGCATAACGGACATGGTCGAATATGAAGGATGGAAGAAATACAATCACAACGCTTTCTACAAGTCCACATCAACAACATAGTCACCACCACTCACTTATTCCACAACATTCTTTGGGAAGACTACAACCGGTACGCCATATGCAGACAGCCTTTCATCTAGGGATCCAGCCTTCTTTTGAATAGTCATCAGGAAAAACAGCAAACGACCCTTCCAAAGATTCAACTTGCATTCAGTACATCATGGCCATAACCAAGTTCAAAGGCCGGGGGAAGGTTGTCTTTCCTCGACACTCGAAGAGGGCACAGGATACAAACACAACGCAGACCAAACTCGGCATCCAAGGTCGTCATCCAGTGTCTCTTCCACAATATTGTATTGCCGGCGTTTTCTTCTTTTTAGTCCTTGGTGCACTTTATCGCAAAGCTACCAAATCCAGCACATCCAGCAAAGCGAGCAAAGCGAGCACATCCAGCAAAGCCAGCACAGAGGTAGCTAACAGACTGACGACGAAGAAGAAGATACTTGCTACCATAAAATCACGGAACGGCACAATAATGGTGGACAACGCCGCTATTTTTAAACAACTGCGGCGGACTCGGAACGACATTGGAAATCTGGACGACGAGCCTCATCAAGATCTTCTTGCTAAAGAACCACCACCACGGGTTTACGAGATAAACGTTAACAACATTAACACCATGGCGAATACCAAACTTAACGGCTTCCAAGGTCAACGACGATATCTTCCCATGTTCCTCCATGAATACCTTCTAGTCGCCATTTATCTCATGTTGATCATCGGCGGACTATCTCGCTTGGTGGAGGTTTTTCTCCCGGTTTTCATCCGCTAGTTTGGGCTACTTGCCTCGTCCCTATTTCTGTTATTGTCAACTTGGTCGGGCAGCTTCCTTTTGTACCGGTTGGGCCTTGTTACTTCGAGTCCTCCATGTATTCCCTTCTTGACAAGAATCACATCACATCACATCATCAGCGAACATCCAAGATTTCGAAAACGACACCACGCACTCACGCTGTCATCAATCCGCAACCATCATGGCTTGCCCTGCAACCAGAAGCGACCCGTACTTTTACACCTATGGAGTTTTCAACCTTTCAATTAGCAACAACATGATTACCTACATCAGCGGAAGAACTTTTTTTTTTTTTTGCGAAGAGCGGATCAATTCAACAACATACTTACCTTGGGTATAATGAACAGACCACCTCAAAGATCGAAAGCACCGGAACGAAGAAAAAAAGGAGACAGTAATAAAAAAAAGAAGAAAGCTGCGGCTACCAGTCAGTACATACCTACACACCAACTTTGGGAGACTGGGTCACCGACAACACAAACTCAAAACCCAAAACTCACCAACCCCAAACTCGAACTCAACACATACGATCACCGACCGACTAACAAAAAAAACCTTCCGGCAGCCATCTACCCAAGCCAAGTCACGATAGATTTCCTCCTCCCACTCACCCTCCTCGTTGTCATTCTCTCCCCCCTTTTCCTCCTCAGAGGCTCAGGCAGTCGACAACATGGACATGAACGACATGAAAGAAGCAGACATGGAGTACAGCATGGAAATGGAAACAGTGTACTTTGTTGTCCTCATGGTCATGCTTCCCTCGATCTGCTGGCATTTACATGAGAATGTCGTTCAACTCGTTCCTCTTCTTGCTGCTGCTACTGCTGCTGCTGGATTCCCACTGCCGCTGCTGTTTGTACTGGCTGTTTTGGTTCTTGGGGTTGGGGTTTTTGTGCCTTGATATTGGAGATGAGGGAGAGGTTTGGAGTGGACTGGACTGGACGTGGGGAGTGGACTGGAATGGCTGGACTATAAGAAAGGGGGGTGTAGCGTTTATAATGAAGTAAGAAGAAATGTAAATAAAGCGGCTAGGAGCCGTTTTGCTAATGTATGGAAAATGTCCAAGCAGAGATTCGAAATAACCAGTAAAGGGGTATCGTTTGGGACTATTAGTACACATATAGGTAAGTACCCGAGGACAATGAACGTTTGAATGACAGAGAGAGAGAGCGAGAAAGAAAGAAAAGTATATAATGACAAGGGAGAGAAAAGGGAAGGGAGTGTTGGTGTTAGTGGACATACATATATATGTATATATCACAGATGGATGGCCAGGGAGACAGCGACACTCTTGGTTGGTGATTATACCCCCTCTCTCACAGGTATGCTTCTTCCACTTCTTCTGAAATGCGATTTGCTACGTATACTATGTCTGCACGTACAACCTCGGCAACCCGATTTCATGAACTTATTCTTGGCTTTTCGTCTGCCCTGCCCGTCACTCCTTCATATTTCTCATCCGGAGAGCATCAAGCAAGCAAGGAAGCTGGATAAAATTTCCCCTTTTTTCTTTCTTTGATGAGAAGATCCACGTTAGCCCCAGTCTCTAGAGTTGAACTTGAGTTTGAGGGTTGGGGAGAGATAAAGGAAAAGAAGACATGGAGAGAGAGAGAGAGAAAACCAAAACAAGCGTGGATGAAACCGTAACGCCTGAGGCCATGTTGTTGCTTGATGATGATGTTGTTGCTTGATGTAGTCGAACAGTGGACGCCCGGACCCGAGCTGAGTGAGGTACGGATGGCAGTACAATTTCCGTTCGTTATCGTGGCCGTGAGATGACGTCGTAACGTAAAGTGGTTTTCGAATCAAGAACAAACAAGAAATAAGTTAGCCAGAGACTCCGACAGAAATCAATCCAGATCTTCGTTGGGCTGGTAGATGTGGCGAGACCGCGTAGGGTCCTTGCGCATGGCCTGGCCTGAACCGGTGAAACCGACTGTTGTTGTTTTCATGTCTTTGGTCAGCAATCACTTTCTCCCAGACAGTCGTCCCAAGCAAAAAGAATGTAACTCACCCCTCCCATGAATCCCCTCGGGCGTCCTAAACATACTCTCCTTCTTAGCCCCGGGGATGCCCTTGCCCATCTTGCCGCCGGCTTTCTGCGTAAACTCCTGCCACTTGTTCTTGCCCTTCTCCAGCTCTTTGTTGGCCTTGATCTTCTTGAACTTGGGTTTGCCGTCTTTGTCGAACTTGGAGTCTCCTCCACCCTTCTTGCTACTTTCTTCCGCAGCCGCTGACGACGCCGCCAGCGCACCAGGATACAACTCGGGTCCCGCAGACAAGGTGATACCGTCCGAGTTGCGGGTTATAGCCGCCGCTCCTGCGGCCGAAGAGGCCGGGGTGGAGGAGGGAATTGGCATCGGGTAGCTGTGGTCTGAGTCGGCTTTGCGCTTGAAGCCTGCGCCGCCGGTAGACGAAGATGACGCAGTGGCAGCGGCGGCGGGGGCGAGAGTAGAAACAACGGGCTTGACGTCCTTGGCCCTCAACGTCTCGACCGTGTCATAGCTCTTGAACTTGACGGTGTAGATCGGCGCGGTCGAAGAACCGGTTACGGAAACGATCTTGGCGGGGTAGAACCCTTTATCGCCCGAAAGCCAGCGGGCCATGACGGTGTCGTTGACTTGGAAGTTGACTACTGGTGCTGGCGCTGCTGGCGCTTCCTCCTTGGCTGTCTCTTGTTGAGGAGCGGTAGCAGACGGCTTCTTGAAGGCGGGATGGTTCTCGCGCGACCATTTTGGTGGTTCCTCAGAATCTTGGACGGAGGGTTTCCGTGATGTTGAATTGGATGACGGAATGCCGATGGCGAGCGGTTCTTTTTTCTGAGCAGCAGCGGAGGAGGCGGAAGCACCCTTGAGTTCGGCGAGCGAGTCGTTGAGGAGTTGGATGCAGTTGACCAGTTCGTTCTTGAGGGCGAGGAGTTCTTCGTTTTCGGGGTCATCTTGGAGAGAGGTATCGACCAGTTCGAGCTGAAAAATGTTATTTAGTTAGCATGGCGACACCTTTGGGGTAGGGGATGGGTAAACGAAACGTACTTGGGTCTCGTACTCCTTGCGCTCTGCTTCGAGTTGCGCTGCCATCTTCAACTTGAATGACGAAACTGTTTTCCGAGTATTTGGTATTGAGTACCGAAATCGGGCGGCGCTGGTGGTTTACTAGGACTCGAAGCTGGCTGGATTGAAAATGGGTCGCAAGTGGCGGTCTGTCGAAAAGTGACTGAAATTGTGGGAAGTTTGTATGTCGGGCGCAAAAGGATTGAGATTGGGATTGGGAAGAGAAGTGATGATCGGTTGACTGCACGCGGCTCGAGCGATGCGATACGTGAACAATTTACTGTAGCGCGAGCGGGAACCTTGCCCGGTGACGCACGGACGGAAATATCCGAACCATCACCAGCTTGCGCCCATGCCTAGAACACCATGTATAGAGGAAAGGCTTCCACTATCAGTTAAGATATTGGGATAATTATCAGATGAAGAATCAAATACAGTAATAATCGCTTCCTAAACATGCTATAACTCATGTAAACATCACGCTGACATGTTGTCCTCCCGAGCTCCTCCTTCCCTTCCCGTCTGTATCCTTGACATGTATCTCGTCTAGTATGTGTATCCGTCCATCTACACCAGAGGACATCCACCCCCTGATCTCATACCGAGATTCAATGAACTATGAACCAATAGTACCTGTTTGTTTGTTGTGTATACGCACAGTTGTGCCCGTTCCCATTGACGCCTTCCAAAGCAATCGAAACCAATATATCAGCAATAAAAACTCAAGGGACGAACACATGAAACCCACAAAAGTCCTCGTCGAAAGTACTCCTACGCACTTCGACTGAAACTGCTAACCAACCCCACGACTTCTCTCAACAACTCCGGCGGCGGTTCACCCCCATTCTCACCACCAACACCACCACCACTCTCATCCACAAGGGTCCTCGCATCCCAAGCCTCGCTTGCAGCGGCATCAACACCACCACCCGCACCGTCAAAGCTTCCCACTAGGAAATTCCCAACAACCCCAACTCCTCCACCCCCATCAACCTTCACCCCATTCCTCGCAGCAATATCCGATCCAAGCCTCCCAACAACAGCCCCAGCCCCAAGCATGCTGCAGGTCTCCTATTCCTGGCTAGCGCTCAGATCCAGACTCTTATCCCACAAGGCCCTCAGAATCGCCTGCGTCTCCGCATGTTCGCTCCTGTCCACCAAACTCGATCCGCTCAGCCGTGAACTCGACCCGTGAGCACCATTGGCACCATTCAACATGCCCACATGCGGTCCCGGCCCACCGTCTCCATCACCATCAAGACTAGAGCTGGTACTATTAGCCCTGGTCCCCATCCCACTAGCCAATCCCGAAAACCGGGCCGCAGCAGAGACGGCCTTGGAGGGGATGGCGGACATGGAGTTGCTGTGACTGTGCTGGTGGTTCGCGTTGATGGTTGCCTGAGCGAGGAAGGAGTCTCTTGGTCCCTCTCTGCCATCGCGGAGGAAACTGGGGCGGCCACCTAAGCCTAGACCTAGTTCGGAGCCGCGCTTGGAGTGGGAAGTTCCTGGTCGGGAAGAGCGCCCGCCGCCACCGCCGCCGTTCATGTTTAGAGACCCGTTTTGAAGAGCCTGGTACTGAGCTATACGTGCTATGGAGCGGGCTACGGGGTTTTGGTAGCGGCGGACGACGAGGTACTCCATGCCGGTGCGCTCGAGGACTTTGGTGAGGCGAGTATCGCGGTTGTCGTACCCGTTTCCGTTGAGCGGGAGGCCGGGGGTTAGTGGCATGCCGCCCATGACGCCGAGGGCTGGGTGGTGAGGTGGGACATGTGGCTGGTCCAGGGTTGAGCTAGCTCGCTGGAGGTTGAGTTTCTGTTGGGTCCTGTTTAGATCCTTGGGAATGCCATATACGCCGCTCGAGACACTAGTTTGGGTGCCGTTTCGTCTTCGCGTAATTCTCCTGATCTCTGTAGCTGATGCGCCTTCGTCATCCGAGTCCGCCCCGGGTTTGGAACCTTGATGGCCAGCATGTTCAAGACTCCCCATTGATCGCAAGGTACCGTTCTCTGCCGTGGCTTTGATACTAGTAAGAAAGGATTCGCCAGTGTTACTGGGATTGCCAGTAGATCCAACATCGCCTCCGACGAACCGCGAGGTGAGTAGCTCCTCCCTTCCACTGCTTCCTGGGCGAACTTGGGAGGCACGGATCGACGAAGCAGGAGACGTCGGCCGTGAGACGTTTAACTGGACCTGTACGCTTTCTGTCGACATCTTGGGCGCCGAAATCATGGATGGTACTCGCTTGAGAATCCGTTCCGTAAGAAGCTGGCTATGTGTCAGGCTGGTAGTGCTATGCGCAATACTAAGCGCAATGCTAGTCTGACTACTGCTGTTCTTGTTGGTAGGCGGTTTGTACGGTTGTTGTGCTTGTTGCGCTTGTTGCTTTTGCTGTTGCTCTTGTACTTGTTGCCGTTCCTGCTGCTGTTGTTGCTGTCGTAGCTGCTGTTCCTGCCGCTTCTGCTGTTGTAGTTCCTCCTGTTGTTGTTGCTGCTGTTGTTGCTGCTGTTGTTGCTGCTGTTGTTCCTGCCGCTGTTGCTCACGCTGTTGTTGCTGTTGCTGTGAGATACTGCTGACAGGGGCAACAGTATTACTACTGGGCTGGACACGCTGCTGCTGTGAAGGGAACTGATATTGGACCTGTGTTGCTACTCGCGAGTTATCGCCCTGCCCTAGGGGCAGTACCGCGGAAGCCAATGGGTGCAGGTGATTCTCGTTTGATGTCTCGGCACCGTTGATTGTCGACCCGCGTCGCGACAGCAAAGGAGAGGCTGATGTGCTGGCGTCTACCCACTCGTCCTGATCCTCCTCTTCGTCCTGACCGTCGTCCCCTATGTTAAAGTGGACCTTGCTATGTCGCTGTTCGCCCTTGAGCTTGTGGACGGCGGGGTTGGATGAGGACCGCTTGAGCAGATTGGATGCAGACTTGGCCTTGCCTTTTCCGATTCCAGCTACGTCGGCATTCGATCGATTGCGCTTCAGCGCTGTCGCAGAAGTGTTCTTGAGGTTGGAAGTGACGGTCATGAGGTCCTGGGACGTTGAGCGGCGGTGGCCATGCGCAAGAAAAGGAGGCCGATCAGGCGATGTAGGTGATCCTCCTTGTCGGGTGCTGTTCGCGGTGTTGGCACGATTCAGCTTTACCATGGAGGTCGAGCCATGGTGTTTGTGTAGGCCTTTGGAGGAGGGGACTTTTCCGTGCAGTCGTGAGCCACCGACTACGTGCTTGGGCCCCTTTGGGCGGTGGTGATGGGTGCTACTGCCATTGCCTGTTTGATCGCCGCCGGCTTGGGAAGAGCCGCTGTCGTGGTGGTTCAATGGCGGCCGTTTTGATTGGCCGGGGGCGCCCGATGTATCGCTGTTCTCCCTTTCCCTAGGCATGACTGTGGTGTGCTTATTTCCTGTGTCCCCTCTTGGCCTTCTCGTAAGGAAATGATCCTATCCGGCTCCGATCCCGCGCTCACTGGTGTAGCGGCGCTTCCTGGTCTGTCGTCGGACTGAGAGACGAATTACTCAAACTGGGCGAGGATATACAGTACTCGGTGACGCCGTGGGGGGGGGGGGGGGGGGAAGCTCAAATGAGTTGTCCGGCCGAGCGAGGCGAATCGATTTCGAGCGAACGGGCTTTGGTCCGGCTTTCGACTTATTGGAGTGGTTCGTGCAAAGCTCCGACTGAGGTGTCCGTGTGTTGGTTGCTTTTGCTTGCTTGCGGTTTCCTGCTGGTTTCCTGCTGGTTTCCTGCCGGCAGTAGGCGTCCGTCCTGTTGGCGTCCTTTATGTTGGTCAACCGCAAACCCAATGACTTCCACTTTGTAGCGGGCGCAAATCGGGTTCCAATGGCCGAAGTTCGCTTTCCGAATTCTGATCAGACTCGTCAGAAAACACGGGGAAGCCCGATCGGTACCAAGTCGAGTCAATGATTGTGGACGTAAGATCGGGAAGGCGTACTCAGTAGGTAGGTACAGTAGTGAAGAGGCGAGGTTTTCTGAAGCCTTCTTTTCGTTCGCTGGAGATTTCGAAGAGATTAGAGTGGTTCGGGGTGTTGTGTAAGGTAACCAATCGTCAATTTCGTTGTTGGTGGGCGCCGCGATTGTTTGTTGTGGGGGAGAGCAAGTGAGCAGCACCAAGTTAGGCGTAAGCCAATGGTCAAGTTTTGATGTCCCGAACACCGTCAGAGGCAACTGACTGGTCTCGGATGGTCAAAGTTTGAAGTTGGACAAAGTGATGCCCAAGTTGAATTGGAAGAGTTGTTGAGCTCCAGACTACAGACTCCATTTCCTCCTCTTCCAGCCATTGCTCTTGCTCTTGCCTGCCAGCCAGGCCAGCCTGCCCTTGTTATCAATTCGAACTAAGACCGACTACGTAAAACCACTTTGTTAGCGGCTCAGACACCCCCCCACTGGGACCCCCTCGACCCCATACAGACCACTCATCACTGACCCCCGGGTACATGAAAACCCCCACAAGCCAGCCTATTCCGTTCTCATATTTCACTAAGGTAAACCTCCAAGCTAGGAAATAATCTACAGCCTCCATCACACTTTGACTCTTTGTCACTTCCAACATCTCCGGTTGATGACCTCTCAAGTCTCATCCTTCGGCACATCCCACCCGTCCATGATCTCGATTCTCAATACCCAATACCCATCGATGAGAAGGAGCGAGCCAAACCCAAAAGCGGTGACAAGCAACGGAGGGATTCCCCAGACAATGCTGCAGGCTGCCAGACAATGGGCTACATCCCCATTGGCTCTTTCAAGTTGGCCCATCTCCAAATTCCCTTTCCCCACACATCCATCCAACATTGTTGAACCCTCGAACTGCTTTGGGACTCGACGAGTGACGACGACGACGACGGGTTATTTCTAAAACTTAGTTTGCTTTCTGGCTTTCATAAAGCAGTAGTACAGACCATCGATTACGACTACACATGCTAATACAGTGGAAAAAGCATGGCAAAGTGAACTTTGGTAACTGGGTCATGTTCTTGATCCTAGCCCGAGAACCCCTTACAAAGATGGCAGATTAGTGAAACGCTGAAACGAAACAAGACAAGACGTGGCATGTGGCATGTGGCATGGTCAGACGGGGATTATCCAAAGTACGGTACTTCGAGCGAGGGAACAGTAGGGTCAATTGGGTTGGGTTGACATGTGCTACAGAGGTTCATATGTTCAGAGATTTCATACAAACGTTATACAGTACGGAGGTTAAGGGAATCCGATATGCCGATATGCGAACGGAGGTCGCTCCGTGCGTGCCGCCCGGCCGCCGTCCGTCGCTACATCACCATTCAGACAAGCAGAAAGTCCCCATAGTATCCTCATGACTAGCGGATATGAATCATGTCCGCTTCCGCCCGCGCGGTTAATCGGATGACGCTGCCGTCAAGGATGTGTAACGGAGTACATACGAACGCATTATGGAAAGTTGCAGTTATCAAGATGCTCACAGCGTACACAAAAGATATCACAAGCAAAGAGTCAAGAAAGGGACATGAGATTGGCCCAAATGATTCGCACATGGTATCCAAAAAAAAATGCTGTTATTCTAAAGTTACAGTAGCTGCTTGACATACAATCATGACACAAAATATGCTATATGAAAGAAGGAAAAAAGAATGAAACCCGACCGACCCCATTTTTTAGGACAACCGCTTACTCGGCAACCCAGACAGCGGCCATACCCATACCGGTACCAACGCACATGGACGTAACACCAACCTTCTTGCCCGTCCTCCTGAGCTCATAGAGGAGGGTAGAAACCTGGCGGGCACCGGTGCAGCCAAGCGGGTGACCGAAAGCGATGGCACCGCCCTTGGGGTTGATCTTCTCCAGGGGAATACCGAGCTCGTTGGCGCACCACAAGCACTGCGAAGCGAAGGCCTCGTTGATCTCGTAAATGTCGACGTCGTCCTTGTTGAGGCCGGTAAGCTCAAACACCTTGGGGATGGCCTTCCAGGGGCCAATACCCATGAGGAGGGGCTTGACGCCGACGACGGAAGCGGCGACGAACTTGCCGAGGATGGGCTGGCCGAGCTTCTCGGCGGTGGAGCGCTTCATGAGCAGGACGGCGGCGGCACCGTCGGAGACCTGAGAAGCGTTGCCGGCGTGGATGGAGCCGTCCTTGGCGAAAGCGGCGCGGATCTTGCCGAGGGACTCGGCGGTGACGCCGTCGCGGACGCCGTCGTCGCGTTCGACCAGGATCTCCTTGGTCTCACCGGACTTGGGGTCCTCGAACTTGGCCTTGAGAGGGAGGATCTCCTCCTTGAAGAGACCCTCCTTCTGGGCCTTGACAGCCTTCTGGAAGGAAGAAGCGGCGAAGGCGTCCTGGTCCTTGCGCGAGACGCCCTTGTCCTTGGCCATGTCCTCAGACAGGACACCCATGGGGACCTTGCAGTTGGCGGCCTCGGTGTGGCCCTCGAGGAGGTCAGAGAACTCAGCGACGGCGCCGGGGCCGTAGTTGGTGGACATGGACTCGACACCGGCACCGACACCGACCTCGATCATGCCGGCGCGGATCTGGTTGGCGATGTCGACACAGGCCTGGAGACCGGACGAGCACTGGCGGTTGAGGGTGTGGACGGCGGTGGACTCGGGGAAACCGGCGACGAGAGCAGCGGCGCGCATCTCGGTGGCGCCACCGCCAGGGGCGAGGACGGTGCCGACCTTGATGTCCTCGACGAGGGCGGGGTCGATCTTGGAGCGCTCGATGAGGCCGCGAAGGGCACCGGCCATCAGGTCAGCAGCATGGGTGTCCTTGAAGCCGCCCTTGCCGCCCTTGGTGAAGGGAGTGCGGAGAGCGCAGGTGACGACGATCTGTAGTTGTATATGTGTTAGTCGCATTTCTCTTTGGCGTATATAGCGTTCGAGTATCGAGCAGTTGTCGTGCTTACATCGTCGGCGTTCTTCTGCAGGATCTTGTCACGACCACCACCGGTGACACCAGCGGAGATCTGGTTGCCGATCTGAGAGAGTCTGTCGAGAGCTGTAGCGAGAGGTATATGTTAGCCATGGTGTCCGAGCGGCAGGAGGTCAAGTCGGTCTCAGTGTAATTAATACATACCACCCATTTTGAATGATTATAACGATTATTCGACTAGATAAATCAACTGAAACAAAGACAAAGCTGCTTGATGGGTATCCTCGAAATAATGGGAAGGGCGGAAGTGGTTCAGTAGGAAGGAAGGGAGGACGGAAGTGGAAGGACAGGAAAACGGTTTGTATTGATATATAGGGGGGAGGCGGCAAAGGATACGAGCGGAACGTCCAAGAAAGATGGATCGCCAGGTGGTTTAAACCTCGGGATCTCTCTTGTCTCTTGAGATGCTCGGCGTGTTACTGGTGTGCAACTGGGCGTGGCCGGTGGACGGTGGTAGCACTAACAGACAGAAGCGTGGAGCACCCGCGGTGCTGGTGCCCAGTGTGGGATGGAAAGTCCGGGGGGCGGCAGCGGCAAGTGCCATGGAGCGCGGTCCAGTGCCCAGGTGATGTCAGAAATGCGCCGAGGCACTGCCGCATGCGGTTTAGCGCCAGACGACAGGTGTGTGGAGGAGGGGGTGCACGCTGGGGAATGATTGGGGACAGGTTGGGGTCGCCAAGCGTTGCAGCCGCATTTTCAGATTTGTCTTCTGTTTCGTTCCTTCTCTTTTTCACATGCTCTTCCCTTTTTCTAGAGGTAAGAATTGCTTACAAAGGGCCCATGTTTTGGAATCACTTTCTGTCAGCAGAAACAATTCCGGCAACCGAGAGGTCACACTGGCAACCAAGATCAACCATTCCCAAGATTCCTTGCTAGACACCTTGGGAGGTTTGCAATGTTCGTCCAGGGGTCGCAAAGGCGAAAGAGAAGCATGTATGGAAGTAGGAATCACATGTTGACCGAGCCGCATTCTGCATTCATTCCGCACCACGGAATGCTGTCAACCTCTGTCTATCTATCTAGCATTAACATCAGCCGAACATTGCACTACGGGAAGCCGTCAACGGTTGATTATGCGCACGCGTAGGTATGTACATGTAACTCGGAATGAACTGTTCGGTTCCTGCTCCGACTCTAGTCGGATGATTGGTCGAATCCGAAATCTCCGTTCGAGATGTGCTTCGTCGATTGTCGTTAAAAAGAGGGCTCAAGCATCTTCTTTCCGGGCAAGCTCGTTGGTATCCATGAGCCTCTCACCTCTTTAAGGTTGGGGATGGTGCAGTTCATTGTCAAATTGTGCATCAGTAACCGGACGGGATGGAAGCTCGCATGTCCTTCCGACCTGTGAGATGAAATAAGCTTACCTAGGTAGGTACAGATGGATGCGATGGCAGGAGAAATTACCACCCATGGATTCCAGGAACTGAACTCCATTCATTCAGGAGAACAACTCATCGGCGACGACTTTTACAGTTGGTCAAAAGTACCGAAAGGTGAGAGAGGCTGACGAACCAAACAATTGCTTCCAAGAAAGATCATGTGCAATTCATCAAGGTAGAAGGTAACGACAATCATAGTATCAAACAAAAGCTATCCCAGCTATATGCAAGCCAATCCCGATATCCAACGCCGAACGAACCCAGGGCAGTTAGTTTAAGCCTTGCCATGGAACTTCTTGACCTTCTCAACCTCATCATAAGAACCCATAAAGATACCGGCCTTGTCATGGATATTCTCCGGTACGACCTCGAGCATGCGGTTCATCTTGCTATCGACGGCTTGACCACCAGCTGTTTTGACATCTGTTAGCAATCGTGTTCCTCGCTTCCACGGGAGCAGGGGCAAAAGAAAACTTACCATTCTCAAAAACCATGGCCATCGGCGCGCACTCGTACAAAATCCGCAGCTTGCCCTTGGGGCTCTTCTTATCCGCAGGATACGCAAAGATGCCACCGTACAGCAGGGTACGATACGCATCCGCCACCATGGAACCGATGTACCTGGCACTGTACGGCTTGCCACCGGCGTCCTCCTGGCCCTCCTTCAGGCTGTTGAAGTACGCCTTGACCTCGTCCTCCCAGTACAGCGAGTTACCCTCGTTGACCGAGTAGATGGTCCTCTTCTTGGGGATCGTCATGTTGGGGTGAGTAAGAATGAACTCGCCGACGCCCTGGTCGAGGGTGAAGCCGTTTACGGAGCCGCCCTTCATGGTGATAACTAGCTGGGCCGAGGCGCCGTACATGGTGAAACCCGCAGCGACGAGCTCGGTGCCGGGCTTGAGGATGTCCTCCTTGCAACCCGTGCTGTCATCGGCCAGCTTGTGGATGGCGAAGATGGTGCCCACCGACACACCGGCGTCCAGGTTGGAGGAGCCGTCGATGGGGTCGCAGGCGACGGCATAGCGCGCGTTCTTGGCGTCCTTGAAGTAGATCACGTCTTCCTCTTCTTCCGAGACGAGAAGGGCGCACTTGCCCGAGGACCGCATGGCCTCGATGAAGAGGTCATTGGAAATCACGTCCAGCTTCTTTTGCTCGTCGCCCGTGGTGTTGGAGGAGCCGGCGAGACCGGTCAGGTTTACGAGTGTGGCGCGGCGGATGTAGTAGGCGATGGACTTGAAGGAGAACTGGAGGGCATGGCAGAGGAGGCTGGTATTCTCATGTTAGCTTGCTGGGTGGTGCCAATGCGAAAGAATAAAAGGTGAGGAGGATTAACATACGTAAAGTCTCCAGTGGCTTCCTTGTGCTTTACTTGCTCCTCGGTGAGGAATCTGGTGAGAGTGACAATGTTGGTGTTGATCTTCTCACCCTCGATCTCGGCGCCAACTCCGTTCCTGTTGGAAGGCGACATGGCTGATTATGTGTATGTGTGTATAATGTGTATCTGGTGAAATTGGTAGATCAAAAAGAAGCTTGCTACACTGATCGTGAGAACAAGCCGGTTGTGATTTCGTAGTTAGCTAGCTTAATGCGCTCTGCAGCTGTGGGATGATGTATGCTTTCTTGGTCACGAGGGTTGACGTTGACGTTGAACAAAGAGCTTCTTCGACTTATACGCAACTAGTGATGTATGTATGATGATGATGATGCTTGGTCGTCTGGTTGGTGGATTGGGATTGTTCCGGTAAGGATGAGGATAGCAAAGACAAGACAAGGACACTGGTCTGGGTATTTGGGTATAAACTAATGGGAGAAGAGGAAAAGTTCAAGAGGAAGGAGCAGAGAGGGCCGGAAAAGAGGAGGAGCAGCAAGATAAGAAGGTTTCCCTTTCAGCCTAGGTCATTGAGGTGGAGAGTGGCAGAAGACGGGAAGAGACGGTCAGACAAGGCCAGGAACACGAAAACTTGACAGGGGAATGTTCAAAAGCCAAGGGGATCTCCTCCATCAACGTGACAGCTTGGGATCCATCTGGAGGAGAAGTTCCATTTTTATGATGGACTGGCTAAAGTGTTGCTGGCGTATGAGACGATCACTGATCGTCTATCAACAAGCGTGCAATGCTGTTGTGGAACTCCGATGACTGAGGCGTTGAGATCATATCAAAGAGGGAGCTTTTCCTCCTCCCTCGAGATCATTAGAAGGAAGGAAGCTGTCGAAGACAAAGGTATGTCAGGTACCTACCTACCTTTGCCAATAACCGTTTTACCCCGGCACCCCGGGTTGCAGAAAGGGGGAAAACGGGGCGTACGGGGCCCCTCCTTCGGCCGTCGTCGGTTGAACAAGCGGTTATCGATAATCGGGGGACGGGGATATGTCCACTTGCTGACTTGTGACATCAGCGACTGTTGACCTTTTCCTGGATCTGTTCTGTTCGTTGCTTGTTTTTATTGTGGTTCTTGTGCACTCGTGGCAAGCCGATTAGCCGTCTGCTGATTGACTTTGTTTTTCATGTAATTGCCTTTTTTTTGCTACTCTCAATGACTGTTTGTGAGCTGAACTTCAACAGTTGTGGTAAACCGGCCGAAGGGGAACTTTCTCCAACTGCTTGTTTTGGCTATGAAGGGAAGCCAATGACGAAGAGGAGTGGAGGGGTTGTTGCCGGGTGGGTTGGCTTGAGAAGGGAAACGACTGGGGGGATCCAGAAGCCGTCAGGGGCGGGATGGGCGGGCTGGCTCGATTCCGGGGGTGCGGGGCAATTCTGGCAATGCACCTTCCCCCAAAGAAGATTTCCCGGGACGACGGGACTTTACGCATCCATGGGAGTGCTTTCCATTTCTGTCGCCGAACACCTGAGTTCTGCTGGTGTTCTTTGCACTTTCTTCAGCTTCTCTTGTCAACCCATCTGGCAATTGTCTTGGCTTCGGGAACCCATTGATTGAACTTCACCACTGGAAGTCCGGCAACCAAGTCCGGCAACACCACAAACCAAACACCGACCGACAAGAGACGGTCAAGAAGCCAAAAAGTTCAGAATCTCCATCATCTGACTCGGGTTTGTACCACTTTTGCAAGTCACTTGACGATAAATGAGATGAACAACACCGCCGGTTGATTACGGAACAGAAACTGTTGTGGCTTTTTCTTCCCAATTTCCAAATGTCCTCGTGACCAGCTCCCGGTCTGTGGAATGGAGAACTTTGGAGAGGTTCGCTCGAGACCGACGGAATTCAGCTTTCCCGTTGTCCGGCAGGCACCTTGACGGCTTATCGAGTTTCTTATCGTACACAGAACCCTAACCCTTTCGGGAAGTGACGTCGAAGATGCTATTCAGGAGTCGCCGACAATGTTGAAATTCCACAGCTACAACAACTCGACACTCCTACGATAAAACAAAAACAACAAACTACATAGGATTTGGTCCGGACTGACTTGAGGTTACTGATAACTCAAACTCAGGAGATGAGGCTTTCTGTCCCTCAAATCCAACATCATCTGTCCAAAGAGGCCGTTTGCCCAAGAGAACCTGTACGAAGAACAACCGTCAACACCCGATACCGACAAAATCCAGGACCCCTCGTAACATGTCAAGCGGCTAACAGAAGGTTCCACTTACCATTGTCTCGTCCATATTGAGGCGCTCTTGGAGCTGATCGACTCGTGCATCAACCCCAACCCATCCGTTGACGAAAGGATCTGTTGAAGGCAGTTGACAATCTCGGCATCGTCATCCGAAGTCATGATCTGGACGATCAAGCTCATGGGCCAGGCCATTCCAGGGCCTACATGCGGTCCACCGGTTCTGCTCACGTTCCATGTCAGTCAACGATCTTCTCAAGCCAAGTGATACCAAGAGGACATGGACCTACCCATTCAACACCGGTCCAACCATGTAGTACGGATTCTCCCTGCTCAGTACAAACCGTCTCGTGTTCTGATATATCGGATCGTTCCGATCGACGTACCCAAACAACGGCGCACTAAGCAAGCTGGGGATATTAGCATCGTCCTATCCAAAGAAAAAAAGAGGTTAGCCATCATGATTCGATCCTTCTTTGATCTGATTTGATTTGTGCCCAAAGACGAGACGAGACGAGATGACAGACGACAGACCATCATACTATGACTTCCAAACCCATCAACCTCATAAGCATACACCCGTCCATATCTCCAATGCTCCGCCCTCCCAAACTTTTCCACACCCCTTTTTATCCCCTGCGCCATCTCCCTCATCCTCTTCAACCTCGCACTCTTTTCTACTTGCCCTTCAATCCTCGCTACAATCCCCTCCGCCACCCTTTCCAGAGCAGTCGAATACATCATGTTCCCCGGCACGAAAAGCTGGTAATTACACGCATCGTCACTCGGTCTGAATGCGCTCCTCACCATGCCCGTGCCATTCCGTACGGGGTTCCCTGCTCCGGCATTCCCCAGCGTTTCTGACGCTGTTGATGTGGAACGCTGGAACTGATACGGGGAGAAAGCCACGCTGCCATCCTCCTTGTACGTGCCCGCCTGAAGCTCCGCGGTAACGTTGAGTATCAGATCAACAGCCTTGACCCAGTTCCTGGCGCACGAGAAGAAGAGCGTGTCACCCGTGGCGTTGTGGTACGCGTGAGACAGGTGGAGGAAGGAGGCGAGCGAGTCGAGTTCGTATTTACATTCGAAGACGGTGGACGGGTCGGGGGATGGGTAGACGTAGTCCGTTGTGCCAGTGCCAGTATCTGTGGATGTGGACGGATTGAGAGAAAGGGAGAGGTTGGATTCGGGGGGCGCGTGGAAGGCGTTGCAGTGTGGCGAGGTGAGGATGTAGCGGGCTTGGAGGTTGATGAGGCCGCGGTAGAGGGAGGCGAGGGAGGTGTTGGAAGAGTAAGACGAAGGGCGTAGAAGAGGGAGGTAGGATAAGAGTTGGTTGGAGGAGTCGCGGAGCCAGAGGGCGGGGATGTCGCCGGTTGTTATGAATGTGAGCTTTGCGATTCCCGAGTCATCAATCAGTCTTGGGCAAACGGATAGGATGGAAGGAAACTGGACAGGTAACAAGTGAGTGCCTTACCTCCTCTTCATAGTCATCCTCCCTGTAGTGCTCATCTCCGTGGCCCTTGGCGGCAATACCCTTCCAGGCAATGGCTGTGTCCAAAGTATTTGGGAAGCAATTCTCAAAGAGGCGGAAGAGATCGGGGTCTCTGATGATCTGCTTCATGTCCGAGATGGTGTCCTCGACCTCGGTCAGGTTGAACTTGCGACATGCTGGCACAGGTCTTTGATAGGGGAGTTGATATTTTCCCGAGGAGTAAGGTGGGTGTTTTTGGTAGGCGTAGTAGGAGTAGTCTGGACATGTAGACTCTTCCGAAAGCTCCCATGGTTGTTGGTCTTGTGGTTGTAGACGATGCTTTTTTCTCGCTAGTGAGGCCGTGATGCCGGAGAGGATGAGAATGAGGATGAGTTTCTTCATTGCGCCTTTATGCTAATTCTGCTCTGCGGCAGGCCAACAATTTCTTGCGATCAATGGAGCTGGCGGCCACATCAAGTGATGTTCCGGAGGAGGAGGAGGAGGAAACCCGCTCGGCTATTGATAGTCGAGATGGTAAAAGCATGTTATGGTTCAGTGAATGATTTCCTATCTATGCCAAGGTCGTCAAGAGTCAGGAGCCATGGTTGAGGTTTCGGTGTCTTCACAGTATTGAACCAAAACCCCGTGGAAAATCTGGGGAAAATTCGACGACATGCAAGAAAGGTGGCATGTGAAAGGGTATGTTATATGGATAAATTGAGAATGGGTAAACCGGTGGTACCGTCTGCAAGCTGGCCACGCCATGAACTACCGAAATGGCTGACGAAGGAAGCCCATATTGGCTATATCAACGTTTTGATATAGACTGTTTCTGATTCCATGTCACCTCTTTGTGGGAGAGGTGTTGGACCGAGTCCGTCCTGAAGAACATCACAATGACAATGACGATCCTCTGGATACACTTAGATGTAAGATCATGGTGGTGGAAGTGAAGTACTCAAGGCAACGAACTACTTGAAAGTCTCAGGAATGTCTGTATCAATCGAGCCCTGGCCAAAGTCCGATTATGAGTTCGCTTTCTCTTCGACTTTGAAGTATCCAAATACAGTTCGGAGAAGCCAACAAAGAGAACTTCCTCTTCTGGACATCCAGCGAAACCTCGGAGACATGACGCTGTAACACTTATAAGCCCTAACCATTCCAAGCCAAAATCCCCAATTCTCATTGGACAATACTGTAACTGTCAGTGGTTTGTACCCCTGTTCTCAAATCGGACGCCGGCACGGTAAAGGTCTTGGTATCGTCTTGGCAACCAATTCCTCCCTCAGCTTTTCTCCTCTTCCCCTCCGTTTGACCTGACATTCTTGACAAGAACGCCACTTATTCAATGTGAATAAACTTTTGTTCTATTTAGTACAACTTGGCCCTTTTCCGAAAGAGGCTGATTTATGGATGGTTGGATCAGTCAGCAACCCCGGACTTAAACTTCGATGCCATGGGTTACTTGTCTCTTCAGGGGTTCTGGACCCTTGATGAGGGTGGAGAGCAATTTCCATCTTTTTTTGAACTTCCGAGTTTCTGATGTCTTGACATCCAAGCACCAAGCAAGGGAGAGGCTTATGTTTATGTCTGAAACATTGCCCATTCAAGGGCTGTCAACAATTAGCAGGACACATACATAGTATGTGAGAAACATAGACAACAACCACTTTCTGAAAAGAGGTAGTCACCAAAGCCTATTTCACCACCGCGGGTGAGGTCAGGAACCATGGCGATATACGACGACTCACCCTACCGCAAAGCGGCAGCCAAACTCCCCGCTCACTTCGCGAGTGTCCCACGAAAGAGAAGGGCTCTCCTTGTCGCCGTCTTCCTCACCATCACCATCTTCCTCCTCTTCAAACTCATCACCCCAAGCCAAACCCTCCTCTTCTTCCTCTTCTCACCCGACATCGCCGGTCCATATGGCGAACGTTCAGGAGCGGCCAGTAGCAACCAAGATTTTAACAACGACATTCTGCAATTCATCGATCCCCTAATCGGCACCACCAACGGCGGCCATGTCTTCCCCGGCGCCACCCTGCCCTACGGCATGGCCAAAGCCGTAGCCGACGTCGCATCGCCCGCCGAGAACGCCGCGGGATTCGTATCCGACGACAACCCCATCACCGGCTTCTCGCACATGCACGACTCCGGCACGGGCGGCCAGCCCTCGCTGGGGAACTTCCCTTTATTTGTCCACCCGGGCTGCATCGACGACGACTACACCAAGTGCGACTTCTCCCTCTACGACCGCCCGCTGAACCGCGTTCCGGGGTCCGTGTATGCTTCGCCGGGGTACTTCACCGTCAACATCACCAACGGCGTTCGAGCCGAGATGACAACTACCCACCACGCTGTCCTCTATCGCTTCTCGTTTCCAGGAACGGAAAAGCTGCACTTCGCCAAGGGCGTGGCGCCCTACAGTCCTCTGATCTTGATCGACTTGGTAGACCTGATGAACAGTCGGTCCATGGGCGGGATCCAGGTCTATCCCGAAACGGGCCGGATCGTGGGAGACGGGCGGTACACGCCCTCTTTCGGTGCAGGGCATTACCACGCCTTCTTCTGCGCGGATTTCAAGGGCGCCAAGATCAGGAAGACGGGCACGTTCGTGTCGAGTAAGGCTACGGATGAGAAACAGTTCCTCGAAGGCGTCGGTTCGGGGTATCAGATCCCGACGGGGTCGGCGGGGGCTTGGATTCAGTTTGAGAGGCCCGACTCTGAAGAGATGAAGAATTCGATACTGGCGAGGGTGGGTGTGTCATTTATCTCGGTGGATAAGGCGTGTGAGAATGCGGAGCGGGAGATTGAGGATTGGGACTTTGAGAGAGTCGAAAAAGATGCGAAAGAGGCGTGGAGGGAGAAGTTGGATGTGGTGAGGGTGGATGCGAGCGGCACGAGCGAGGAGTTGCAGACCACGTTTTGGAGTGGGCTGTATAGAACCTTGTTGAGTCCGCAGAATTATACGGGAGAGAATCCGTTGTGGAATTCGACTGAGCCGTATTTTGACTCGTGAGTTTACACGCCCCGGAAGGAAAACGAGGAGAGGATACACCATTTACTAACGTGGGCTATGTAGGTTCTACTGCATCTGGGATTCCTTCAGAGCCCAACATCCCCTCCTGACCGTTATCGACCCCAAGGCCCAAACCGAGATGATCAGAGCGTTGATCGACATTTACCGGCATGAAGGCAAGCTTCCGGACTGTCGCATGTCCTTCTGCAAAGGCTACACCCAAGGCGGCTCCAACGCCGACGTAGTCATCGCCGACGCCTTTGTCAAGGGCCTCATCACCAACATCGACTGGAAGACCGCCTACGAAGCCGTTCTCTCCGACGCCGAAATTGAACCAGAAAATTGGGGTCTCTCCGGCCGCGGCAATCTCGTTTCCTGGCACGATCGTGGCTACATTCCCTGGAACGACGTCGACAAAAACGGTACTGGTCCCGCTTCTCGCTCCATCTCCCGCGGCGTGGAATACGCCTACAACGACTTTTGCATTTCCCTCCTTTCTCGCGGTCTTTCGGAGTCCTCGCTCCTTTTCCCGTCTCAGGCCGAATTTCAAGAATACCGTCCAAATATCTCAACCCACACCTCCCTCGCCACCGATGCCTCAAAATACCACCACCGCGGCGCCAACTGGCGCAACTACTGGAACCCCTCGGCAAAGGACCTCTTCCGGGACCGTGAGTCATTATCCCCCCAAGCAGAAGACACCCCGCTAGAAGGCCAAAACGCCTCCATCCCCGGTTACATCCTGCAGTCGCCCTTCGTGGGCTTCCTCCAACCACGCACACTTCGAGGAACCTTCCGGTACCACCCAACGCGCACCTGCTCGCCTATCCAAAACCAGCACTCCTGCTACTACGACACCTCCCTCGACGTCTACGAGGGTTCACCCTGGCTTTACTCCTTTTTCGCTCCCCAGTCCATGTCGACTTTGATTTCCCTCATGGGCGGCGCCGACACCTTTGTCAAAAGACTCGAATATTACCATGAGAGCGGGATCGCGTACATGGGCAACGAGCAATCGTTCCTGACGGTGTTTCAGTTCCACTACGCCGGCCGCCCTGGTTTATCCAGTAAATGGTTGAGGAGCTATGTCCCCAGGATGTTCAACGCCAGCGTCAACGGGATTCCGGGAAACGACGATTGCGCCATGGGCGCGTTTACCACTTGGGGCATGGGGCTGGGTGTGTTTCCCGTGGCCGGGCAGGATGTTTACCTTATCGTTCCGCCCTTTTTCCATGAAGTTAAGGTGAGGGCTGGTATCGACCTGAAGTCCCCTTCCGGACCTGTGTCTTCGGACTCGAAGAAGGCTAAATGGGCGATCATAAGAACTGTCAATTTTGATGTCGAAATGCAAGGCGACGGCGGCGGTGGCACAAAACCCGTGTACATCCAGTCAGCCAAGTTGAACGGGAAGAGGCATACCAAGAACTGGATCACACACGAGTTCTTTGAGAAAGGGGGGCTGTTAGAGTTGGTAGTTGGACCTGATGAAAGTAAAACTTGGGGAACGAACCCAAAAGATCTACCGCCGAGTTATTACGAGGATGCCAAATTTTGGGAGGAGTGGGAGAGGATGGATAGGGAGAAGACGGAGAGGTGGAAGGCGGAGGAAGACGGCTCGGAGGTTGATGAGGAGTATTAAGTCTAGAAGAGGGTTTTGAACGAATTCGAGGGTGAGAGGACGGTGAAGTTGTCCGGAAGCGCTTGTTAGTGAAGTATGCCTACCGGTGTCTCGTTGACGACCTTGTCCTTAACCTGTATTGCTTCCTATTGTCGTGCTTCTTCGACACTCGTTGTTGATTATCAGTCTTCGGAGATTTCCGCATTGGGAAAGTGTTCGTGTGGCACAGTGAGTGTACCGAAGGCTACCTTGCCGGCGTCGAATCCTACGGTAGTTCGGCACCGCTTGAACTGCACATCGGTTAGAGCCAACAGTGCCTTTGGTTTCAAACGATCCTATCCATAATGAAAAAAATATTCGTAAAATTTTGAACTTTGATTGCAACGTCTTCATTACCAATTCCAGACATCATAAAGTCAACTTCACAACTTCAACTCAGGTTGAAAACATTGTGAAGTGGAAGTCAAAGAGAGCGTAAGGTCGGCTCCCGGCATCAGAACCCCCACAGCCCGCTAATCACCCAAGCCATCCCACAGCCTGACAGCGCCGAGCACCGCGGGGAAGAGCGCTAAGCTTTGGACAAGAACCCTCGGCGAACGCCGCCCAGAAAGGCCTTGAAAAGCTTGACACCCACCCAACCACAGTGACCACACACTTCTTCAACCTTTCAAGCCTCTTGTAAGTGGAAGCGACCGTGTTGTATGTAGGGCGCTATCCCCGATCCGATAACCTGGAAGCCGATTTGGAGCACCCTCTCTAGCATCCCAATAGGCCTTCACATGCAGGACAACGTCACCTGGACTTTGGTCACACCTCTTTTATTTTCCAGGACACAACACTAAAGCCACGAGGTATCTTGTGATGCACTGAGACACGGCATTCCGCTGCAAGTTAAACCAGAGAGAGAGACAGCAGAGGGGTAATCAAGTTCAGAGAAAAAAGGCGGAAGGGAAAGGGAAAGGGAACCTGTAAAGAAAGGCAGATCTCAAAACATACACAAGGATCCACGAAGCTGAGATCTCTCCACGTGGAAGAGAGGAGCTCGCGCGCGGAGACTTGTGAGTGGAATGTGGATTGCTCCGGAGAGAAACTAACTTTGTGGGGATAAACAAGGGGTTCCATGCTTTGGGAGTTCTTATCAGATACTCCGAGTCGAATTGGCGGCGAGGACGGAGGAAGGAAGGGGAAGATGCAAGGCGATGATCTTTTGGGCCCCTATTTTACCTCTTTACCTCTAGATACTCGGTATCGTGAAAACCTACGAGGGCGTGGTTGGGAGCGAGGACTGAGGCGGGAGACTTGGTCAACTTTCAACCTCAACACCCCTACCTTGTACAAGTGAAGGTTGCACCGAGCATGGAACGCTGCATTGCGACTACGTTATGCGCAGGGTGGTAACTATCGTGTGCCATGCTGCCGGAGGTTGCCATACTGCCAGGGAAGTTACCAGCCTTCCCATCCGTGTTTTTTTTCCTTTTTTTTTTTTTTCCTCTGGGGCTCTCAAACTTATACCGAAACAGGAATGTCGATATTCGAAAAAAGCAAAAGGATGGGAGTCGAAATCCAAGCATTCATTGATCGAGTATCCTGGCAGCCTGTCGAGGAGGGTCCGTCCCCCACCAGTCCGTCCGTCCGCCACTGACTTAATTCCGCTTCTTCTCATCAGTTCTCGACCCTGTGATTGTCCTCTTTTCTTTCCTTCTTTGTTCAACTTCCGTTGCCTCGGTTCTGTACTGTACCCTTGGTGAGCTGATAGCTAGTAGCTAGTCGAGTAGCTTCAGGGTAGCTTTCAAATTCTTATCTAGAAAGTTTGTGACAACCTCTTTCTTCTTTTTCTTTCTTCCTCTCTTTTTTCTTCCTCCTCCTTTCCTACAGACCTACGATTCTCAAACATTGCAAGGTATCAGGTTGAAAGTATACCTTATCGGACTTGCACATACCTGCGCAACAATGTTCGGACTCGGCCGCCGGCGCAAAGCCGAATCTGAGGCTTCTGCGCAACCCGTCGATCATCATCAAGACACCACTACCGTCACCGAAGGACAAACACTAGGAAAGACAAACTGGAAGAATCTCATTCCTGTAATCGCTTGTGGCGCTGGGCTCTTTTCAGATGGGTATATCAATAATGTAAGTTCAAGCTGAATGAACTACACTGCGCAAAGCGTCCAGTCAAGTTGTCGCAACTTCAAATAAGCCACTGAAAAGCTGACAACAACAACGCTACTACAGGTCATTGGCTCCGTCGTCACCATCTTAGACCGAGAGTATGAGGACATCTGGAAAAGCTCAAACGCGAAGAAGTATGTGGGCGATATTGCGTTTGCTGGAACGGTGGTTGGCATGTTGTTGTTTGGATATTTGTGAGTTTCTCTTCACACCTTTGAAGTTCTGATGAGAGATGAAAGATGAAAGAGTGTGAAGAGCTGACATTGTGTGGGGAAACCAAAGGTCCGATAAATGGTCACGAACAAACTCCCTCCTAGTCTCAACCATCATCCTCATCGCCTTCGCCGCCCTCGCCGCAGGGAGTTACTACAAGGGCGACACAGTTGGGATGTTCAACATTTTGACCGCCTGGCGCTTTTTCGTAAGTTTTCTTCCCTCCCCATCCTCATATCACCATCTCCCCTTTTCCTCTCCCCTTCCTCTCATCCTCTTCCGCATTATCACCAAACTAACACTCCCACGTCCCAAAAAGGTCGGCGTCGGCATAGGAGGCGAATACCCCGCCGGCTCCGTCGGCGCGCCGAAAACACAGGCGAGCTCAAGTCCGGCCAGCGCAACATGTGGTTCATCCTGTTCACCAACTCGATGATCGACTGGGGCTTCGTCATCGGTGCCTTCGTCCCCTACGTCGTGTCCGCGGCCTGCGACAACAAGCACCTGTCGACCATCTGGCGCACCTCGTTGGGGATTGGCGTCGTTTTTCCCCCTCGTGCTGTTTGTTTTGCGATTATTCGTCAACGAACCCGAAGAGTTCCAGAGAAACAGCATGAAACACGCCCGCACTCCCTATAAACTGGTCCTGAAGTTCTACGGGTTTCGCTTGTTCATCGTCAGCTTGATCTGGTTCATCTACGATTTTTCGGCCTACAGCTTCGGGATTTACTCGCCCAAGATCGTCGCCAACATCTACCCTTCTGGATCCCCGCTGACGACGATTTTCGGCTGGAATACCGTCATCAACCTGTTCTACATCCCCGGCACGATGCTCGGCGCGCCCGTTTCCGACCTGTTGGGTCCGCGCTACGCTTTGGCTTTGGGCGTCTTTTTGCAGGCCATCGTGGGCTTTATAATGGCAGCGTGCTACTCCTCCCTCGCCCAGCCGTCGCGCGTCGCCGCCTTCGCCGTCGTCTACGGCATTTTCCAATCGCTGGGAGAACTAGGGCCAGGCAACAACATCGGGCTCATCGCCGCCAAGACGTGCGCCACGGGCATCAGGGGACAATACTACGGTCTGGCGGCCGCCGTGGGCAAGATCGGTGCGTTTGTGGGCACCTGGGTTTTCCCCTATATCGAAAAGGCGGGCGGAGGCGATGAGAGACTTGCGGCGCAGTACCCGTTTTGGGTATCGAGTAGCTTGTGCGTGTTGAGCGCGGCGTTGGTCCTCTTTTGTTACCCCATATTGGACAGGATACGATTCAAGTGGAGGATGCAAGGTTTAGGGCTTTCCTGGAGGAGAATGGTTATGATACTAGGCAGCTGGGGTTGAGGAAGGGGGAGGACATGGTGGAGGACGCGGAGGAGGTGATGCCTGTGGAAAAGAAGGCTAGTAGTAGTCCTGCTGAGTGAAGGGGGTATATGGGGTAAATATTGTTAGGGGTGGATGGATGGGGTTCGTTTTTTGGGCCTGAAAGAGGTGTGGTTGCTTTTGAGCGTTGGAGTTGGAATTGTTTTGGGTTGTTCTGGATGTTTCAACAATTTAATGATTATGACGAAGCAGGAGATTGAGAGAAAGAAGGTAATGATGATGGTTATGAGTGATATCCTATCCTATAGTAATTTGAAGTATGATTATACCCATTCCTCACTATAGATCTCCTCCCAACGAAAAGAGGAAGAGGGTTCAAGAGTACCTAACACTGAATAAGATGAGCCGAGTGAAACGCCTACCTACTGTAATACTTCGCCTAAGACTGGACTAGACCACGACCAAAAAGGCTCTGAAGCCCAAGTGACTCCAAAAGTGACTCCAAGAGCCTGAGGGCTGACTGACATATGTACATCACCATTTCATACTTCGAGGGTCACGATCTGCCGTACTACCCCAACGGCTTACTTGAGCTATGGTACTTATGCAGTGACGCCTGACGCAATGCTTTAACCATGCAGCTGGCCTGCTCTCCTCTACTCCATCCCTCCCTCTCTATCACCCGAGTCTCGATGTGTTGCTGAATCGTTAAGTATCATTTACTTTTCTTTTCTCCCTATCGTCAACTGCAGGCCAAAAAAGAACATGGGAAGTTTGTATTGCTACACGGAAGACGCCCAACAATAAAAATAAACCCATAAAAAGGTATCAAGAAAAACTCCCCTTGCTGACAGCTTGCCTGCTTGCTAAAACAAACAATAATCTCCTCGTTTTCCCCACCGCTTCTTTCCGAACTAACGTCGAACTTGATCTGGTTCAATCAAGCTCGACGTTATCCAACGCCTCACTGATAAACTTCTCCTTTTTGTCTTCCTTATCGCCCTCTATCGACTCCCCGTCCTCGCTCCCCGCACTCGACCCCGGCCCTGGACCCTCGCTATCATCTGTCTCCGGCGGCGTATCCAACCCCGTCGTCGTCGTCGTGGGGCAATTCATCCTGCGCTTCAACATACACATCTCGACATTGATACCGGGTCCGAACGCGCAACCGACGATATACTCCTTCACTTTCCCGTCGGGCGCTAGGGCATCCATGTCCTTTTCCCTTAGCCGGTTGAGAACGCTGAATATGGTTGCCGAGCTGGAGTTGCCGTGATTGATGTACGTGTCGTAGGAGGCGCGCATGTGCTCTGGTGTGAGACCCATGGCGCTTTCGGCACCTGAGAGAATAGTGGCGCCGCCGGGGTGCATTGCCCAGTCGAAGTCAGCTGGTTTTTGGTAGGATGAGGGGAGTTGGTCTTGGAACGAAGACAGGAGGTCGGTGTAGGTTGGTTGGAGGGAGGCTTTGGCTAGTACTGGCACTCGGGGAGACAAGACGACTTTCCATCCCATTGGGTCAACGTCAAAACCGAGGTCGTGTTCGGAGTCCGGGATCACACGGTTTTCCCAGCCCAAGAGGTCGTATATCGCGGGCTTGCCTGGTTCCTCGCCAATGCCGTTGGAAAGGACCACGGCGCTAGCGCAGTCGCTGAACAAGGCGATTCCGATGCGGGTTTCTTGTAGGGCGTTGATGCTCTCGAGCTCGCTGCGGACCATGATCGTGGAGACTTCGAGTGCGAGGACCAGGATCCGGGCTGGCTTCCCGCGTGCCTTGTGGCCTAGGCACAGATTCGCTGCTGTGCGCAGGGCTGCCAGACCACCACTGCAGCCGATACCGTGAAGTAGGACCTTCTCGAGCCGATCGCTGAGGCCAAGCTCCTTCGCAACAAAATGGTCGTAGCCTGGGTTGGCAGAGTCGGTACACGTTGTGGAAACCATGTGTGTGATTTGGTTAGGTTCTACGCGGGCTTCGGCCATGGCCTTTCGGGAGGCTTCGACTGCGAGCGGAACGCCATCGGACATGAAGACCTTGTGAAGTTCATCGACGGTAGGTGAATTGGGCTGGTTTACGAGCGGGTGGTCGGGGTTTCCTATCGAGGAGCGCTGGTCGATGCCTGTGTACCGGTTGATGGCGAGGACCTTCTTCATGCTGTCGCAAACCGGAATCAGTGCCTGTCTAACAAGCGCAAAGCAAAAGAAGATAAAGAAAGCTTACGCTGGGGACTCGGGGTAGTATCTTTTGCTGAGAATGTCGAGACAGTCTGGACCAAGGCTGTATGGAGGATACTGAACTCCCAAGCCCGTGATGGAGAGTCCCAGCTCCCCGGGAGCCGTTGACGCAGCCATTGTTACTGGTTTGGTGGAAATATTGGAGAGAAACGATCGTGGGAGTCGAATTGACGCCTCTTCTGGTGTTATGAAGCAACTATCGCGATCCAATGCCTTGGTGTTTTCTTCTCTTTGTTGTAGTTGGCGGTTAGGAACTGGGCGCAAGATTGTTTATCTTTTTGACGGTGGGGTAGTGTAGAAGCGAGAGTTGATATGTTGCTTGGCAATGACGCACAGCAGTGTGTTGAAGGGCAACTGAGTGAACCGAGGTCTCTTGGGGACAAACGAAGCTCTCACGAGTTGAGTCGCCGGTCACTTGGGAATGGAATATTGAAAAGGTGACGGATGAACTTGGTAAACATGGGAATTGTCAGTTTATGTTGTGCGACAGCAAAAGCAAGACGGAGGTGTTACCACACACAGCCCCGATTCGTTCTCGATTGTCAGGACAGCTTGAAGCTCCTCAGTATCCTTGCCTCGGATCCTGGTCCACTGGTTCGAGATCGTTACCTCATTGCCCAGGGGAAGCGGCTCGTCTGGACTTTGGGATTGCAAACGTGGTGGGGCAAGGCCTTGTTCTCAAACGCCACGCCGGATGGGGCTTGTCTTAAATCCGTAGCGGGATGCTAACAGGGCAGCGAATGCTCTTGGTTCCCTGATTCCAGGCGATTGCAACTGTACCTGCAGATATTCAGCCCGCACGGTGGTCTGACAATGGGCAACGCCGCGATGAGGGGCTGGAGGTTGAGGAGGGGAGATGATGATAAGATTGAAGAGTCAATGTGAACGCAAGGGCAAGAACTTTAACAAGAGCAATGAATGAGTTATTAGTGCAAACCATTGAATGTTGATCTCATCCCGAGCTGTCCAAATACGGAAGGCATGATAGAGCCCCGCGCTTTCCAGATATTGATCGAGATCCAGTGTTGAACGATTGACCTCTCGAATCTAGGCCATGTTCAGCGCGAATAATCCGAGCGTCAAACTGTTCCATCGGGTGGTATTCCAAGGATATGTGAGCAAATATTGCAAAGTTTCATGGGGTCGTTTTGCCCCGCGTGGACAAGATGTGTGAGAAATGGTTAGAATGGTGATCGAAGAATTGTTCCTAGGTGCAGGGGTTCGATAACGTGCGGATAAAAACGACGCTATTCCTGTTCCGACCAAGTCCAAACCGCATAACGTCATGGCTTTAAGCTCCGGATTGCTGGTCTGCAGAATCAATAACGAGGGTTTCATAGCCTCATCTGATAGAATCTTATCCCACGTCTTTTTGATCACAAAGCCCGAGAAGTTGGGCGGAAGTATCAGGAGGCTGATCAGCTGTCTCCGGTGCAGAACCTTAAGTTCCCAACACATTTTGCTGCATTCGTGCGGCAGGACATCATGCAGGTGTCGAATGACAAGGTATCTCAGTATGATGAAGGCCGAATTTTCAAGTCGTTCCATTCGACTTCCTGTGAGAGGTTGGGAGTGCCAATGGAGCTCACAAGAGTTTTTGCCAGATACTTTGGTGCAATGTTTGATTTGCTGGAGTCGGGAAGTCAGGATGCAAACAAATGTAAATATGGACAGAAACGCCATCCGATGCAGAGACACAAAATCGGGATGAACCATTCCATCCGGATGCATGCGGGGAATTCGGAGCGGCCCACGGCCCCAGACCGGGATAAGGCGGGTGGAGAGATCTTCGATTCCGCTCCTCCGGAAACCGGAACCCCAAACCCCTCGGCCCGGAGACATGAAACCGAACCATGGCATGGGTGTGATCCACTCGTTGATCACTCATCATCCCCAGTCCGACAGTCAGACTCGCATGTCAAAGGCTCAAAGTCAGAGACTCGTAATCTCATCGTCCAGGATCACGAACATGCTCGTCGTTATGGTCGCCAGGGCTACTAATAGTAAGTAAGCATCGGGTACCTCGACAGTCGATGGCGGATGACACACGGAAGAGAAAGAATGAGACTGGAATCAACAACAAAAGTGACTCAATGGCAAAGGTATCAACAAACAATCTATCTTGATAAAGCCTGTCGAATTTCGAATTCGACAAAGATTGGGAAACAAGAACTTAAACAAAAATCCGCGTGCTGTTGTCCCAGTAAGCCACTCAAAGATAACAATCAATCTTCATACAACATTGTGAACCTCCCATCATCATCTCACCATAAATCCTAAGCCCCCTTTTCGTCCTCAACCGTGACTCTCCTATATCGTTGTGATGGACCTGCCCTCTAAGCAGTCTTCTTCCACTGGGAGTAGATGCCAAGCAGAGAGCTGAGGGTACCAGCGAGACCGACGATGCCATCATCGAAGTTGACCCAGGTGAGAGCGCTGAGAGGAACAGTCAAGTCGCAAAGGTCGGAAGTGAGCTGGATGCGGCTGGCGGCGCGCTCGCTATAACATTGTAAAAAGCAATCGTTAGCATCAAATCATGTCTCCTCAGGCGGATCGGATCGCAAACATGGAGCGCGACCGGGGAGTCAACTTACACCTCAATCCTCTTAGCCTCTACGACACCCTCTCCCTCCTTGCGATCAACCCTCGCCTCCCTCTGCCTCAGCCTCCAAAGCGTGTACGCCTGCGCAATCACGCTGCAGCTGAGTCCCATAACCCAGAACCTCTGGGACTCTCTAGCCAGCCTCTTGGCGCTCTCCGTCTTGCGAATGCCCGTCGCATCGAGCAGGGTGCCCAGATCAAACGTCAAGTAGCCCGCATAGCCGAGCTGACGACCGACAGCCAGGTACCGGAGGATGGGGTCGCCGTTCTTGTTGTCGGCCGCCACGGCGGCAGCCTTGATGTGCTCGACATTCTTGCCGGCGCGCATCACCTTGCGCACCATGCCGAACTGCTTCTTCATCGTCTCCCATGGCTTGATCGCGGAGGCCGGGTTGTTGGTGCGCAAAAGGTACCAGGCGTAGAAGCGGGCAAAGTATTGGAGAAGGCGCAGAAGCTTGTCGCGGCCGACGGTGGTGGCGACGAATTTGAGGTAGTGCGAGACCGCGGGGTGGTAGACGAGGGCGTCGGCGACCATTTTGGATGATTTGTTTTGGGGGTGATGTTAATGCGACGGCTTGCGCGGTGTTTTGGTAGTAGTAGTTGTTGTTGTTGTTGGGCTGAAGTTGGTTGTTGCTGCGAATCGGAAGAGGATCGGATGTCGCGGTTAGGTTGTTTTGTTGATGTTCAGGTACAAGCCAGCTTATTGCAGCTGAATGGAAAGTAAGATGAGCTGAGCTGGCGGCGGTCAGACTTTCCCCAAAGATTTCAAAGGGGCGCTTGTCCGTATCACGGTTGATGATAGGATTCTAGATTCAACTGGTTCACGAAACAAACGCGTGAGGTTCAAAGAAAAAAGGTATGAAACACAAACTCAGAGGAAAAACTTGAATTAGCTGATCACTCTTTCCGTCTCTTGGACGCCAGCATTGGAACTCTTCGGCTGCGACTTTGCCCAAGGGAGCACATGCCGAGGTCTCTCCTCACTGCACTCCGGCTTCCTCTCCGCCTTTGACTCGGGAGAGGACCCATCGGGCTCCCCTTTTGTCTCCAACGCTTGGCAATTGCGTGCCAGCCGTGGAGTCATGCAAGGGTCAGCCCGGCTCAAGTGCCGCCATACAATTGGAGTTGAATCGGGAACGCTCCACCGCGTGCTCAAACGCCGGGGTTTTAGCGTGAGGAATAAGGTTGAGGTTAGGGTGGTTGGAGAAGGCGTCACGTTCTGAGATCCACGTCGTCTTTCGATTTCAGTGTCGTTATCGCAAAAAGCCAATATCATGCAATCTCTCTTGAGTAGTATCTGAAATCGTCCATGGTTCAAAGGCGTTTTTGAAAGCCATAGCAAGCCTGTAACTGGTGTCCTGGCGACTGATTGGAGTCGGACCAAACCGCCCCACCCTCAAGATTACCTACGGTGCCTACGAAGTAAGGAAGAAGCATCACGACAGCATGGAAACATGGAAAAGTTTTGTAAAAAGGAGAACAGGAAACTGGAGTTCGTTACGTTGCCCACAACCCCGGCAAGTCTATGCACAACAGAAATATCCAACCATAACCAGCTCTATAGCTTCGACGGCGCGGTAAACAGCTTGACCTTCTCCTTGATCGTGTCCTCGGCCTCCTTCTCGATGCGTACAATTAGATCCTTGCAAGTCGGGATGTCATTAATGAGACCCATGACCTGGCCAGCAGTCCAGACACCATACTCGGGGTCACCGTTGATGAACACCTCCTTGCCACGCTTTCCACTGACGTAAGGGGCAATTTCAGAGAACTCCCCCGTCTTGCTCTCCTTCTCCACCTTAAGGGCATCCCGCACTACCTGGTTCTTGAAGAGGCGGGTGGTGTTGCGCCAGCGCCTGAGAACGAGCGCGGTATCCGTCTCCTGCGCCTTGACGATCGCCTCCTTGATGTTCTGGTGGATGGGGGCTTCGACAGTGCAGAGGAAGCGAGTGCCCATGTTGACGCCGCAGGCGCCAAGCATGAGCGCAGCAGCGAGACCTTGGCCGTCGGCGAAGCCACCCGAGGCAATGAAGGGGACATTGAGAGTCTGACGGGCCTTGCTAAGGAGGATGAAGTTGGTAATATCCGACTCACCGACGTGGCTGTGATATGTGGCATAAGCAAGACTGGTCAACAACAGAAAAATGAGGTATGTGGCTTAACCTACCCAGCGCATTCGAAACCGTCGATGCTCAAGAAATCAACACCAAGCTTCACCGCAGACTGAGCATGTCTGATGGTGGTGCACTTGTGGAGGATGATGACGCCAGCCTTCTTGAGCTTGCTGATGACGGGACCGGGAGAGTTGCCAGCAGTCTCCACGATCTTGATACCCTCATCAATGACAACCTGGGCGTAAGCCTCGTAGTCGGGGGGAACAAGGGCAGGCAGAAGAGTGATGTTGACGGCGAATGGCCTCGTCGTCAGCTTCTTGCACTTGCGAATTTCCTGACGGAGACCCTCAGGTTCAGGCCAGATCAAGGCAGTGATGATACCCAAACCACCAGCATTGGATACAGCACTGGCCAGCTCGGCTGTTCCTACATGCTGTTGACACGTTAGCTCCCGTGTTTTGTGTACATACCCTGAGAGGTACGTAGGAAGAAAAAGCAAAAACAAAGACAACTTACTTGCATGCCACCCTGAACGACGGGCACTGTTGCGAGTTGAAACAAAGCATGTCAGCCCAAGGACATGATCGAATCGGGGTGTTCCAAAGGATATAAATAGCAAGATGAAACGTGGGTGATTGAGGTGAAGATTGAAAGTTGAATGTTTGGCCAATTGGCCATTGAGGTTCTCATGTGGACGGGAAGGGGAAGGACTGTGTGTAGCGATACGTACCTGTGATGCCGAGTCGGCGGGTAAGTTCAGTTTGCAACGGCATCTTGATTGAGTATGTGTCGGTGAAGCAACAATGGCAAGCACGCTTCAAAAAGAGGATGGAGAAAAGGGAAGGAGCAAGAAACAAATCCCAAATACGGTCACGAAATATCGGCGACAAGATGAGAACAGTTTTAACAAAGGTTAGATTCGCCGACTATTGATATGGCTGATGGTCCCCTAGTCAGCTGAGTAGAAGCCGCCAATGATGGTAGCATTGGCACTCCTGCAACTTCAACGGTGCCGAGGCAACTCGACGTCTCAAATGTTGATTACTGGTCGTATCGAGTCGTACGATTACTCTTCATTACCCAGACCTCGGTTGCATATGCGGGGTATCACTGCCAGCTAGAGTTACGGGGTGGTAATATTCGTATATAATTACAGTCAGTTACATACCTGGAGCGTTGTCCGGAGTGGTAAGTTAAGCTGAACTGAACTCGCTGAAACTCCTCCGAGATCCGTCTCTTCCATTTCAATCGTTGGAGGGATTGCGTACCCGAGTCGTTCTTGCTTCACGAGGCCGCTCAACCACCACCGCCAAGCGAGAGGATGAGACGCAACAACACTTGACCTATCAAGGTAGGCACGACCAGAGCTGAGACTTCCTTCTTTACGAGTCTCCAATCGGATTTTGAACTGAAAAAATGGATTTGAGCGTGCGCCCTGATGGAAAAACCTCACGATATTTTCTCCGACACAACCTGAACTCAACATCCCAAGTTTCGTCAACCACAAGTCTTGTTGACCATCCCAATCCAAAATATTCGGGACAAAGATTATCCGTTTCTCTGACAGGGTCAACGATTTCTCTTGGATTCAGGTCACTCGAAATCCCATCCACCTTGTCTCGCTTGGTTGCCTACTTCCACCCATGCCACCAACTACGATCGGTACTCATCATATCACCAACACAAGATCGACTCAAGGTAGCATGGATCGCTGAGAAAGCCACCGCCGCTCTCTTTCCCGTGGCTTGGGACCCAATGATGCTAGATCATTGCTACCCATGGAGCGCCCCTCCTCATGCTGTACAAGGACAACGTGGATGGCCGCCGACATGGTGCCAACCATGTAGGTAGGACTCCAGATCGTTCCAGGCCAGCCCGTTTTTGTACGCCTGCACTTCACCATCTCATAAGCTTGACGGCAATTTGAATGGGAATGAACGCAATCATTCTCTTTCATGAACAGCGGTTGGACAAGCAAGTCGACGTTGCAACAACAAGCCGCGCCGTCTGCAGCTCACCACCTTCGCCCCTGGCACGCTATTACATACGGCTTTGCAATTTGACCTGCTGTGAACATCACGATACAGTTTCCACGGTCTGTGGTAGCACGGCCACCGGCGTATCCGTCATCGAGGCAAACTCACGGCTTCTCTGCCTCAGTCCTTGCACGGCAACTCCCAAGTTGGCTAGAATGCCCTGTCCCGACGGGGCAGAAAGGCCGTTGCAAGAATCCATCAGTGTCCCTAGGCCTGTGGGAATCCAGACAGTTCTTCGCCGACGCATGAAAGGTCAACGTCCGGGGTCTGACTGCGGCATCAAATCGACGAACGATGTACGCCCACCATGATCTGACCATCGTTCCTAACCCAACGACGACATGACACGGAAGAGCGCCGTCAGTTGTGCCCTACAAATCCCATCCTCCGCCGTGTTTAAATAGCTTCATCGTCATTCTTCTGGCAAATCGCCTGTCCATAAGGAGCCTCTAGGGGTCTAGGCTATTCAACCTGCTTGTTTCAGATATTCTCCGACTCTAAAACCGGCCACCGCTCTTCAAGCGACACGGTTGCCCACTCGGCCCAATATCCATCGGGATTGGATAAACCACCATATCAAAGCTGTCACGGCTCTGCTGAAACACTCACCTACGCCATAGTGATACCAAACATATCCCGACGGTTGTACGCTTCCGCATCGATTAACCGTCTGTACCACTTCTTACCCCCGGCGCCGTTCATGCCCAGCCGGCGTGGTACGCACATTGACGCGGTGACACGAACGAAGCCGATTTCCCCGCTCATCATTGGTCAGGCGGCTAATTCCTCGCCCTCAAAGGGTGCACGACTGAGTTCGGCCGACCAGATCCAGACAGCTCTGGCCGCCGGACTCGACCTTACGGCCCTCATCCGCTCTCATCCTAGAAGCGGCTCTGCGAGTTATTTCCTTTTTGGACTCTGTCGCTCACCGTCCCTGACGCGCGTGGCACACCACACTGATCAACGAGCGGCTACCGGCGAGCCGCGTGTCAAGCCGATTTCTAAAAACTGCGGACCGATCAACTTTTGTTGCCCTGTCGCAAGTGGACCTTCCCCAGTCCTACCCTACAGGATCAGTGAGATGCATCATAACGCCACGATCCCCCCCCAGAACTACGGTTAAGGCAGGAGTAACCACTGTCAGAGATGGAATAACGCCCATTCGATACGCTTGTCTTTTAGGCCAAGCTACACTCCCCCCCTTCCCCCCTGTGGAGGACCCAAATTAGCTTCTCGCCAACGGGTAACCTTTTGTCATATACTTTGGCTATGAGAAGAGTAAGATGACAAGAAAGGCATGCGGCCAATCCCGTGGGCATCTCAACTTCTACGACGCTAACATAGTGCCTTGTATCACGGGTTCAGAATATCATTCTATGCTATGACGAAACCACACCCCGTTTTCTCGCACGTTGCACGTTAGAGCGGACGGTTCGCTATAGTCCACTTGACCGGCAGTCAGCCTGGAAGACTTGACGATGTGGATTTGCATCGTCAAAGGCGGTGCACTAGCCGGCCCAAAGCGTCATAATATTTCGAGCTTGATGAAAACAGCCAATGCCATTACTCGCTGCGCAACATGCATTGCATACTACCTAGGTGGCTAGGCACTCTGGATGGCCACTGCTGATTGAATCCTCCCGAGGGGCCGGTAACAAACAGCTTTGGCGGATCCGTCTCGAATAGAATAGCACTCTCCGTTGCTATGAGATCCTTCGTTATTGGCCCTCATTTGTATCGCGGACCGACAACAATGACATGTAGTACGTTTTTCTACTTGTTTAGCGCCTGATACACACCTCCGATCTTGGTTGACGTTGTTGACCGGCTTGGCCCAGCAGTCTGGGTCCTGTAAACGCAAACCCCAATCCGCCCGGCCAAGGGGTTACAACAAATGTGGACATCAAACGTTCGGGATACGTCCGGCCTCGCCGACCCTGATCCAAGGTTTGATCATTAGCTCAATGGCAAAGCTTATCGTCTGACTGTCGAAAGAAACAAGCAGTGGACGACCGTCCAGACAGAAACCCTCGAACTGATATCTGAAACAAAGATGTCGTTCTCGCTGCCTCTGGATCAATCCCGTGGTTCTCGATTTAGCTGCGTTTCGCAACAAAAAGAAAACCATCCTCCCCCACCATGTGGAGGGCGGATATACCCACTTCTAGCCTGGTTGCTGGATAGGTGAGAGGCACTGACAACTCAGAGGCCGGTCTTCGTGGTCTTGGCACCTACATGCTGCTCCAACAGGCTGCTTTCCGACCACCAAGTGCAGGGAACGCCGTTCAAAAAAGTCTACCCACCGACTTCACCGTCTAATTGTGTTGGGACGACTTGTGGTAAGCTTCTTGTTGTCGTGAGCACTCACGTCCAATGGACCCCAAGGCACCGGTTGCGATGGGTTTTAGTGCAGACATCTGAAGACCCTGCGTAAGTGGATAACTTGTTCTTGTCTCATCGGCATCTCACTGCGTCACTTTGGCTTTTCCGCCGTTTTGTGTTCTCTCATTCGCTTTCTCCGGCATCTTGGCTGGCTACTGTCATGGACCAGCCTTGGACAAATGCCCCATAACATTTAACGTGTAGGTCTGGCACCGTCTACCGTGCGTCCACGATGGCCGCCGCTGCTCTCCGGCGGCAGCGATCTGTCTGTTTACCCAGGCTGAGTACGTGCAGCACACCAAAGGTCGGAGCATGCCGTGGTCTGTACGGATGCAAGATGACCTTGTCGTCAAGTGTCATGGCACACTCCACTTCCAATGATTCCCTCCCGAGTGTTACAGTCAAGAGGCGGTACGATGGTGTTTGGCGTACGGAGTACCTCGATGAACAACAGGAAACGGAATTCAGAGGTGAAAGGTCGGGTAACAAATTACCATTCATTCCTTTGACGAGCACCGTAACGGCTCAAGCGAGCAAATCAACATACATCGGCTAGCCGTTGTTTTGACAAAGCTGGATATCCTCGGCCATCATCTCCCGTGGTAGCTACGTTTGTTTCTCTGTTTCCTCCGTTCCGTGTTCTGTCCGGTGTACTTTGTCCTTACCTTCTCAAGTTACCGTCCGCTTGAGGAACAATTTCCCTGGTCTACTTATGATGCACTAGCCCGTGGATTGCCAGTGGTAATTCTGATGCTCCTGCATATTTGCGAACAAACAATCGAAGGTATCCCGTGGAATAAACGCAGGACAGCAGGTCCAGGGGTGTATGGGAAGAACAAGCAACAACGTCTCGAATCCACTTCCGCCACATCAGTCCCGACTCGTTTCGACGGTACAAGCGCTCCCTGCTTCCTGGGCCAGACGAATTGTATAATAAAGCACGAACCGCTCTTTTCCATTTCGATCCATATCCGCAAGGTCTTCACCCAAGTCATCCTTTCACTCAACCGAGCACACACTTATTCACGCCGCTTAATTCATCTTCGCCCACTCCGCAAATTCGGCCTTTCGACCTCGACTTTCGTTTCCCGCCCTTTCGATCTACACTACAACACTTCAGCCAAATACCTGCACACAACTTACACGATTTCCTACATCTCCACCAAATACCATCATAATGTCTAAGCAGTGGCAAAACAAGCTCGAAAGTATGCTGGGCTTTGATGTGTGTGTTCTACTTGTGTCATCGGCTAACCACGCTTGTAGATGCTTGCAAGAGCATGCAGATTCCTCCTCCAAAGTTCCACGTTGTGTCAGACCGGAGAGGTAAGCAATGAATTTGATCATGGGCTTGGGAAATGTCCACGAAGCTAATGTTTGGAATTAGGCGGCCGTACTGCTTGGTCTGCCCGTGTGGAAATAAACGGGCAGTTCATCGACGCCAGGTTCTGGTTCGACGGCAAGAACCTCGAAAACGCCAAGGAGGATGCCGCTGAAGTGGCCCTGAACCGCATGATCGCAACGAGATTGCCATCATCGGCATCAAGCCGGGGTAGCCTCTGGTGATTGCGGGAGTCGTCCGATATTATGCCGCTGGATCGGCATGATTGTGATGGTGTTTCTGCGCTTCCTTATTTGTTTTACTACGGCGTTGTGTGTGTTGCCTCACATATCTAGCCCCGACGGCGTTTCCTTTTGTTGGATTTGTTTTGTACGACAACAACCATGCGGCCCTGCATCATGGTGTTCGCCTTGCTGCTTCGGAGTAGCAGCGATCGCTCACGATAAACAGCACCTACTACCGCCAGGGCTACGAAGAAAGTGGGAGAAACCAATGGATGGTTCAGTTGGGTCGAACAAAGCGATGCTGCGGCAGTCTGCTTGTTCCACCCGTCCGGAGCAGACCAGTCTGTCAGATTTGGGGGTTCAGCAACTCTGGAGTCTCGGTCAATTCACTCCGCCAATCATCAATATGGTCGACACAAGGAGATGATGCATGGAAGTTTGGAGGATGCTGTGGCTCGTTAGCTCGCTAGGGATTTGGGTTGACTCTTGACCGCATATTGGTGGTCGAGTCCCTTGATCCTGGGCTGACTTGCTCCTCCCTACCAACACTACTGGTGGCATCGTATCTACGACAATGATTTGTTGGAGGGATGGAATTCGACTGGGATCAGAAGGGGTCCTCCGTCTGTCAGGTGACAGGCCTGCCCGACATTCTTTGGTTGTCTCACAACAAGGCGGACACCAAATGGGCAAATGCCTATGGGTTGTTTGCTTGGGGGTTTGGGTTTCGGTTTTTCTCATGTTTTCATTGCCACCTTTCAATACCCTTTTTGTTTCGTTTCTGTTTTGCTTATTTGGGTGGTAATCTACAAGGAGGAGGGATATTTGAAATAATGGCATTTTTAATCAGCAGTTTTGGGGTTATCTCCTTTAGGAGACGGCGGGAGGGACGGTTAACGGGACGGTTACGGGTTGTTATTATCAGGGAGGGAGGCATTTGCGCGCGAAAGCTTGGACAAAAGTTTTGATTGGTGTTAGGGAACAGTCCAGGAAGAAATGGAGGGAGGGAGACTGGCTGGCTGGTGGTGGCAGACGCAAAATTCGGGAGCTAATCCTTTACGACTCATCTCAAAAAGACGATGGGATGAGGGGAGATGACTGGTTGGACCCGGTCGTCTGAGTGGTACGATGACTGTCATGAGCGTTTACGAGGCTGGGCTTCTCTGTTTGCTTTCACGACTGGTTATGTCATTTCCTTTCAGCACCGTTGGTCTAATGAGTGAGCGTTTTTAAATTCCTGAATATCATCAGACTGCAATGTTTTTTGCAGCATCTGGAGAGCTATTTCACAATCTCAAACCGTTGACACGTGAAAGAGAAGTACACGCAAGTTATATGAGCTGACTGACGATCCCGAAAATCAGCAGCCCTACACGCTGATCTCGAGAACATCATCTGGGCAGCCCTACCGTCAAAAGCCTCAATGTACTGTATGGAGTAAAGAAGGAAAAGCGTCAGATACCGTTGAAGAGATGACAATCAGGTTTGTTACACCCGGGAAAAAGCATCTACACGTGTACCATAAGTGGTCATTGACCAATGTATAAGGTAAGAAAGAACGGTCAATTCTCTCTCCCGTGACCACCCTTAGTGTAGGTACGTGTAGGCGGCATTCCACTTGCTGCGCCCTCCCCATGCAGCTTAACGTGGCTCTTGCATGACCAGGGCAAGTCCCAGGTTCTGAAGGAGTCTTATTGGTGACTTTGTGTGACATGAAACCCGATGTTGATCTCTGTATGAGAGCTGGGATGTAGAACTAGTACGTACCGACCCTGTAAATACCGTAAATACCTGCATCAAGTGGCTTTTCCACATGAAGGTAGGTATGTACTGTGTAGAAAGACGGAGCGGAGGGAGATACATATATACATAACACGGAGCCGGGTCCGGGACCGGCGACCGGACCACACTATATATTCAATGGCTGGATCGTCGCCCACGTTCATGTTGTTTTCCGTCTATCTGGAGTGTGTGAACGGACTTGTATGTACCATAGTAGACACCGACGCGGGGGGCCGAACGAACGAGGCGGAAAGGGAGTTCGTTGGTTAGGTAGTCACAAGGTCACAAGACGATTTCATGAGTTCATCCACTTACATACCTACCTAACAGCGCAGACGGATGATCGCCTATCCATCTATGACTGCACTACTACCCATTTCTTCAGTCGTTACTCAACGTCAAAGTACTTTGCTTCTTACAGCTTCATTACAGTACTATGTATGGATGCTACATACCTAGGTACAGACCCGCAGTTTGCCGTGTATTCCAGTGTGTAGTGTATCTAGATCAACAACAACACGCAAGTCCCCCCAAACAATGCTGCTGAGGTGACAAGACAATGCAAAGATGGATGGATGGATGGATGGATGGAAACAGCTTTCATATCACGGCCATAACAAAGCCAGCAAGCAGGTTATGTATGGTAATGGTAGACCGCATAGCATAGTAGGGGATACCTACCTTACCTCAAGGTATACGGTGTTGTATACACCGCGACTATACCTTCCCAAGCAAGAGTGCCCCCCACCCACACCCAGAGCGGTATACCGCTAACTGATACCTAGATGGGAGTAAGGCCTTTGGTGTTCCAGGTCCTGATGGGAGACAGGTAGACATTGATTGTTGACCAGCTACCTACCTATCGAGCAGCTACTGTATCGAGAGTGAGGCAAGGTAAGGTGAGGCGAAGCGAAGCGAGGCGGAGAAAGGGTGGGATACTACCGAATACCATACGTAGGCAACATATCTTCGATGTATGTATGTAACGGAAAGCTTGCTTGCTTACTTCCTTTCTCGTCGTCGTGATCTCACCGCATTTACTGACCTGTTTTGACGGTCAGATCTCCGTTGACGTTGACTGATTATTCTATGCTGTTGAGACTTGAGACATGGGAGGCGGTCAAGCAGCTTCCATCAACATTAACTGGCGGGAAGGCGGGAAAGATGGAAGTAGATACGAGGTAGTGATGTTCTCGACATGAGCTTCGGACTCATACATAGCCAGTGAGCATCTGACCATGTATGTAGACTACTCGATGCTTCGTAAATCCGGGGGAAGATGTTGGGATGGGGTGGATTGTTGGACCCCTGGGTCACTGCTCATTACACAGGATGAGGACCTAGACTGGTGCAGTTGGAGATCGTGAACTGTGTGTGTTGGTGGACATCAAGGTGCCATGCCCATGCCGACCTTGTCCCAACTGTCCGAACAAGGAGAACCGGATGGAAAAATGGAAGGACAAGGTGACAACCGGGAGACCAGGTGGATGGGTGATCAACGAACGCCGCGTGGGGGCCCACGTCCGGATGTCGGATGGAGTGTGGATGTTGGTTAGGGGGGTGGCTTTTTTGAGGGCTTTTTAAGGTTGTGGTCTGTGCGTCCCCTCGTTTTTGTCTTTTTGAGCCGCAGAAGCGCGCCAATGCAGGTGCCGCACCTCGGGAAAACTCCGGAAAGGCGGCCCCAAAAATTGTTCCTGAAGTCCCGCTCTCCGGATGCTCCACTCGATGCCACTGCCGCTGGCCAAACATTGCAGAGTCCGCCGAGATCACGAGTGTTCGAGTCCCTCCCCCGTCCCCCGGCTTGCTTCGCGGGTTGTGTGCGTGTAGTAGTGTGTCCGCCCCCGTGTTGTGTTTTGGTGTTTCCCGAGCCAGTTCCGCCCTCCGTCCGTCGCCTCCATTCTCGCTCCGCGCCCCGTGTGTGTGTGTGTACCGAACCCCACCACCGTCGTCGTCGTCGCAAACCGATCGACCCAGCAAATTCAACACCACCACTACCACTCTCCACCCGCATCACAACCACCCAAAAATGCCTGCGAGGTTGGGTCTCAGCGCCGCCTTCCGGTCCCTGTCCATCCGGACAAACCAATTGCCTCAGAAGCAATCGATTGCCGCCGCCGCCGTGCAGGCGCGCACCTACATTACAGATTCCACCACCACCTCGTCGAGGCTACCACCCAGAGTCCAGCAGCAACAACAACAACAGCAACAACAAAGGACACAACCGTTCTCGACCGAGACCACCAACAGCAACAATGGCGACCTTCCACCACCAGTAGAAGTCACCCCCGAGAACGCTGCCGCCCTGTCCCAGCTGTCCGAGATCGCATACGGTGTCAAGGCGGCCGACGTCTCGCTCGAGGGCCACAAGTACGGTCTGCCCACGCTGCCGCTGCCGTCGGAGTTGCACCACAAGTACCGCTACTCGGAGGTCGTCAGCCACGCCACCAAGTTGCTTATGAAGGATGGAAAGCTGAGCAAGGCGCAGAGGGTACGTACGGACGGACGGACGGTTGCCCCGATGTTGAACTTATGGCCATGGCGATGGCTACCTCAAATTTCTTTGCGACCAAAAGCTAACCTATCCTTTTATTCTTACGACAGGACATGGCCATGATCCTAAACTACCTCCGCTCCTCGCCCCCTCCCAAACTCAACCCCTCGCGCCCTCTGATCCCCGGCCACCCTCCGGCCTCGCACCTGCCGCTCAACCCGGTCGAGTACCTCACGGTGGCCATCGACTCGGTGGCGCCCCTGATCAAGCTGCGCGGCTACAAGGGTCTGGCCGGTGGTGGTCGCTCGCTCGAAGTGCCGCAGCCGATTCCTGCGCGCCAGCGCCGCTCCACGGCCTTCAAGTGGATCTTGGACGTGGTCAACAAGAAGCCCAGCAAGGGGTCTGGTCGTACCATGTTCGCGCACAGAGTCGCCGAGGAGATCGTCGCCGTCGTCGAGGGCAGGAGCTCGGTCTGGGATAAGCGCCTGTTGCTGCACAAGCAGGGCACGGCCGCCAGAGCCAACTTGAACGCGCCGGCGCTGCTTATGAAGGGCAAGAAGATGTGATTTGGCTTGGGCTTGACTTGACAACTTTGTTAAGAAAACCAATCACATCAAATAACAGAGAAAAAGCAAAGCGAAATCAAAATCAACCAGCCAAGTCTCTGACTGCTGACCTCCCGACGAAGGCCTTTGTTCTGTGTATACTAGTTTTTTGTGTGTTTCTGTATGGACATGTATGCTTCCTAGAGAGAGAAAAGGCCGGAACCGGATTTTGTTCGATTTGTGAAGCCGGCTGCCTACTATTCCTTGTCATTGTTCTAGTGACAGAAATAGTGGGAATGGTCCTCGTGAGATGTCCTGAGCATTCATAGCCATTGGGATGGGGGTGACATGCTGATTCCGTCTGTTTTAGTTGTGGCTACCATGTTGTTTGAACAAATAATGGTTATCAATAAACTCTCAGCCTGGAGTGAGCCTCCTCAGCTATCGACACATGAGTTAGGCCATCTGTTCTACAAGCCCTACATGATCCTGACACCACCCACGGCTTGTCGTATGATGAGGTTGTTTCTTGTCTTCTTGGATGACTTTTTCAATGAGCCTCGTAAAAGCTCGAATAACGTACGTTTCGAATGGAGTATGAAGGGCCATCAACAGGAGCGATCCCTGTTGTGAGAAGTGTGTTTGAGGTTCCTTAGAAAGTCTAATAAAAGAGGGAAAGCCACGGAGATTAGCTTCATCTTCCTAACTGTAAAAGATTACCGTGAGCCTATCTACCCTTATGTTTATTTTGTTTCCCACGTCATTTATTTCCGTCGTGAGAGAGCTCCAACCATGTCACTGAAGTGCCACAGCTAACCCTAACCACAGAACACAGTGATGTAACCAAAAGGGACTACGCAAACATCCGTCACATGCGAGATTACGTCTTGTCGATATGTAACCATCTCAAAGTTCAACAGTTGCTATGGCTCTGTTCTCATGACATTGCAACACATTACACGCAATTTGATATCGTGGCTGTTGACAGAGGGATCATCGACAACCGTCGCTGTCTCTTGTGGAGCCATCGGCGGCGCAGCGCACTCTCGGTGGATCAAGAGATGTGTGGTCGCTCCCGTCTGACCGAGTTCAAGCAGTGTTGGAGCTCTCTTTCAAAAATGAAATGTTCCATTGGAGCTCTCGAACGTAAAAGTCCAGGTCCCCTTTCCAACGCCTGACTTGGAGGGCGGGGGCGGAGATCCTAGCGGAGGCAACAAATAACCTTATAACTTTATATTGTAGATTTATTGGGGTTCTTCCATCAACATCCACCCATCTTTTGGTCTTGTTACAACAAATGTACATAAATTGATGCAATGCGGCGTTGGCCGATCACTTTCTTTCTTCTGCCCGACATCTGGCCACTGACTGCACTCATTCATGCCACTTTGACAATTTGCAGAAACTTGCATCCAATTTCTGTGATGACGGGATTTTGAAAAGGCAACAAATAACAACCTTCGAACATAACAACAACACAGCAACACCGCCCAGACAAGCCCGACAGCAACACAACAACCACCTGTCCTGCCTTGAGCTGTCCCGTCGTCCAGGTATCCGGGATATTCCAAGCCCTACACAATAAACACAGTGACGCTGCCCAGCACCTGCCCAGCCCGCAGTTTGGTGGCACAGAGACTGTCTTGACGTGATGCTTTGTTGCAGCATCCCATCCCTCTTCTTCAAGTCTTCTGATCGGCCGCAGCTTGGCATTACGGAGTCGGTGCTGCTCGCCCTCAATTAAGGAGCCTTGGCGAGATCCTTGGCGGCAACCAACAACAGCAGCAAAGAGAGTGACTCTGAGCAGCCTCCAACGTGTCGCTGAAACCGACCTTGGAGCCCAGAAAGGAGCAAAAGAAGGAAAAAAAGAGCTTCGATCACAAAGGTGGCAGCCCAGTCGCCCCGCAACATGTGCATGATCGACTGAAGGTCTGCTGCAAAAACGGACACTTTTAGTCTCGCCCAGCCTTGAAGTCCACACCCAAGACCTAGAACCCGAAGACCCAAGCAACCCAAGACCCGAGTCTAGCCTACCAGGAATAGACTTCCCTAGCATTTTGCTAGCATCCTAGTCACTGCGCCTGTCTGTGTCTGGAGCTGAGTTGGGAGGTGGTGGTGAAGCAGGAGGTTCCCCCAACCACAAAGTCGAAAACGTCGCAGCATTCCCCAGTCACCTATCCATATCTCCCCTCTACTCCTCCCTTCCTCCTTTTGTCCTTTTTCCCCTCGCACAACACAATGCTGGTTCGGCATATTGCGAGCTTGAACTATCTTCCTCCTGTCGTCATTATCCCACGCTGACGCAACGCCGCCCTTACCTACCGTATAACGGCCACACACCGCCGCCGCTACACGACATCGTCATTACCTAGAACGAATCTTCACATATTCTTTCACACGTTCAAACCCGAACCGAAAGCAACGAAACCGCTGCTCTAGACTGCATACAACATCGGCATCTACAGCTATCTTTACCGAATCCATATCCTCCTAGTCTAGACTGATCGAAAATTCAACTGTGTTCATCACCGATACCACATCGAAGCTTGCCCATCATGGCGCGCCAACAACCCCAGGTCATGTCGATGGAGGCCATGTTAGATGAGGAGCGGCGGGAAGTCCTCGCCCTGTTGGAAGGAAACAACGGCCAAGGAGGAACGCGTTCTCGCGCTGGAAGTACGTTTGAAGGCCACTCGCCATCACCCTTCACGACGCCACGTACTCCCGTGCGCAGCATGCTAGATATTGGTGATGATCACCTTTCTCCTGGCTCCCCGTTACCCTCCCCCATCTCCCCCGTGCTCTCTCATGCTAAGACCGCCTCGCCATATCTAGCCCCGGTACGAAGTATGCTCGACATCGCCCCTGGCCCGCCAAAACCTGTCCGCAGTATGCTCGACATCCCGAGCGCCACCAGCAGTTCCAGAACGCCTCTCAGCAGCCCCAGCTCGCCTGTAGAACCCAAATACCACAACGGCCAACATTCACGCAGCATGTCAGATGCAGGAATGCAGCCAGCCGATTTCGGCCCCAGGGCCTCGAAGCGAAATAACCCCATGAACAGCTACCAGTTCGGCGACATTATTACCAACCCCAACCATACGGGTCAAGCTCTCCCCAAGCGAGTTACACAGGGCGGAAAGCGCCAAAGTTCGTCAATGGCTGAAGTTATGAGGGGCAGCGACGTCAGCAGTCTGGCTCTTCCCGGTGAGAGGGGACGCCACACCTCGCTTCCCGGCCCTAGCGTCTCGACGGCACGACCCTCGAACAAGTCCAAATCCAAGTCCCCGCATGGCCGCACCGGGATGCGCTCCAAGTCGCCCCACGAATTGCTGGCCGAGCGGCAGCTTAGCCCTGCCGGAAGGGCGTTGCTCGACGAGGCGTTGGATTACAAAATGCACACTGCGTACAGACACCTGTCAGATGCAGCTCTCGTTAGGTCTGGGGGCAATCTGGCAGAAGTGACACTACGAAAGAAATCGGACGATACGCCTGGAAGTGGGAGATTGGTTAAGGACTACATGAGCCCGGATGGCGACCCGTTGGTGGAAGACAGTAGTGAAGACAATGGCAGCTCGTCCGACGACGACGAGTCAGATAGGGGGCAGGAAAGCTGCCCGGAATAACGCTGGAAACCAGGAAAAGCAGCTTCCGGAGTCTGCGCAGGGAAACAGACAGGCTAAGAGCTTGTTGGCTGCGGCAGAGGAAGAACGTATGTCCAAAGTCCTCCCTTGTTCAGATTACGTTGTGTGAACGAGATTGCTAACGGTGTCGGTGATATAGGCATTCAGGTGGAAAAGCAACAGCCTCAGTACAAGTACCGCTCTCTCCTCGACGAACCCGCGATCACGGTAACCGGACCATCAGGGCGAACTCGCAGGTCTGGAGTACACCCTGCGACGAGCTTCGATCTTCCTCCTTCTGGATCTCGGACGCCTATCGATTCGGACACTGAGGCGGATCTTACCGATATCAAGCGTGCTCAGAAACTCTCTTTCGCCATGACCCAGATCATCAGTCAGCCCGAGGTACACCGGACTATCCAGATCATCACGCGTGGCGAGTACTCCAAGCTGGTTCAGGAGACTCAGGACGAGCACAACCATCCCCGCAAGTATCTGGTGGCCACCGACCTTAGCGAGGAGTCGACACACGCTCTGGAATGGGCTATCGGCACAGTTCTCCGAGACGGGGACACCCTTATAGCTATTTACTGTGTGGACGAAGAAACAGGCATTCTCGGCGCCGACGGCAACTCGCTCGCAACCGGCATGGTCCCCGACGAACCCAAAGCCATGAGAGAGGCGGCCACGGCGCTCGACAGAATGGCCAACAGCAAGAGCGCCATACAACACGGAGGAGGTGCTGGCACGCTCTCCCCCCTGGCAGCATCAAGCATGGACGCATCGGGCTTGCTAGCGACAGGCAACAGCGCATCGGCGATTGGCGAGGATCCGTCGCCGACGCCTTCGCACTCGAGCCGGGAGCGCAGCAGAGCCGAGGAAGAGAGATACCGCGCGGTTCAGGAGATTAGTGAGCGAGTGACCAAGCTGTTGCGCAAGACGAGGTTGCAGGTGCGGGTGATTGTGGAGGTTCTGCATTGCAAGAACCCCAAGCATTTGATCACGGAGGTGATTGATCATGTGAACCCGACGTTGGTGATTTTGGGGAGCAGAGGTCGGAGTGCGCTCAAGGGGTGAGTTTTCCTAGACCTTTTCTTTTTTCCTTCGCTTCGCTCGATTGGTTGAGTTGCTTGCTAACGTGAAACGTGTGACAGTGTCATCCTCGGCTCCTTCTCCAACTACCTCGTCACCAAGAGCTCGGTCCCTGTCATGGTGGCCAGGAAACGCCTCAGGAAGCAGAGCAAGTACAAGAGGCTGCCGACGACGCACCAGGTCAACAACATCAATAACCCGACGGCAAGGAGCTTGGCTAGCGCAAAGATTGACTAGAAATCGACGCCGGGTCCTGCGGTGTGGTTGAGTTGAGTTTGGCTGAGTTAACTGTGAACTTTTTGGTATACGGGTTACAACACAACGTATGACTACTATGGTTGGAGTTTAGGGTAGGTTAGGAAAGGTGCAGTCGTTACAGCTGGGAAGGGAAATGAGAGTGGTGGATGTAAGTGGGGGGGGGGGGGGGGGGGGGGGGGTCAAGTCAGTCAGTCGTTTTAATTCAACTCAACTCTACCGTGACGGCAATGGAAAAATAATTGGGACGAGACCAAACCAGAAAAAGAAAAACGAACAAAAAGTAAAAAGCGTAGTATCAATTACACAACGGACTTTTACTGCTAAGCAAGACGTGGAGACATGGAGACATGGAAGACTATGTATGGTAAAGGTGGTGCCTGTGGTGCTTATCAGCTCAGTTATCCAGATCAGATCATATCAGATTCAGCAGCGGGCGCCGGGCGGTCCTTTTGAAGTTAACGCCCAGAGGATAGGACTTTAGGATCGGTTGGTAGGTACCTAAGAAGGAAAATCATATGATTCTCAGTCTCTTCACACTTCCACTTTCACCATGGTAGTTGAATGTTCTAGCTTTTTGCAATGTGTCAGGTCTGTCGTTGGGTTGGCGAGGGTGGCTCTTTGCTTTGCTATACTACGGTTGGATGGGGTCAAACGAGGACTAAGTAATATAATGATGATGACGATCTGATAATGAATGTTCTACATCTCTACTTAAGAGCCCAAGCCTGACACCGAGGGTTTGTGATTTGTGAGATCAGATGTCTTATCTCGACGATCTCCTTTCCAATCAAGTCGTCAAATGCCAGGTGTGATGTGGTGTGGTGTGGTGTGGTGTGGTATGGTACCTACCCAGTCTGCCACCCATCACCAACCCTTACGGTTCATCTTCAACTCATTTGCGTCCATCCAGCCATCTAGAACTCTCTATGGTAATAACCGAGAATTGCCGTGTTTCTCTCTTCTCACTTTCATTCATCAGTCTCTCTTCTTCACCGTGGTTGTCACAATGTCACAGTGCCGTTTTCTTTCTGTCTCTCTCTCTCTCTATCGTATCATCTGTTTCTGTCTCTTCTCCTATCAACCGAGAACTGCTTTGTTGGCTTTCCTTGGTTTCAAGCCTCCAAGTCTTGTGTAACTCTTCTTTTCTTCGGAGTCCTTTGGAGTCCGTCCGTCGTTCAAGTCGTCCAGTTGTAATGGAGGGGGAGGACGACTGGAGGACCAGGAGACGGTCCTATCAGTTATCGATAAGTCTAAGAAGCGGGGCGATACCTACGTAGCCGAGTGGTTGCCCCGCTTTTGAAATGCCCCACTCACATGACAACGACGTCGGTCCGTTCGACAGACGACAACGGTTTGCTTGGTGGACCCACTTGGATGACGTTTTTGGCTTTTACAGACGGACGATAGAAACGAATGACGGAATCTGATGGACTGGACTTGATGTATGGTATGGAGGCTGTGTTTATAGCATATGGGAGTTTGTCGGAAGGGAGAGACAGAGGAACTGAAAAGAAGCAAGAAAAAAACGAAGAGGAAGAAAACAGACAGGCGAGATGAAAGAAAAGAAAAAAGGGAGGAAAAGTTAAAAAGATGGGAAATGGAAGGGAGGGAGAGAGTCGTCCACTCATCCGCTGTATCCAACGAAACGCAGTGAGCAACCTCACTCACCCTCACCGATTCCAAACAAGAGAGACGGACGGGGAGACGGGGAGACGGACAGAGTCAAAACGATTCGACAAACTGTGATGCGGTGAAACACCAGGTCGTAGACAATAAAACGCCCAATGAGATGGTGTTGCTGTCCTCCCTTGGACTGTTGAGACTGTCCAGACCCTGTAGCGAACGAATCGAAGAAGAGGTAAACAAACGGAGAGCCGTTGTAACTTGTGAGTGGAAGTCAACTCGGGGGTGTTGTTATGTATGTGTGTCTCACGGGAGATTCCTCGTCCAGCCATATCGTTTACTGCGTAGATGGTGGCAGGGACAAGAACGAGTGAGTGAGTGGGTGAGTGGAGGGGGATGAGGGGGAAGGAGAGACAGAGAGACCAGGGCATGGGGCATGGGCATGGCATGTGGAGATCATGCCCTGGGGATATGATGGAGACTTCCCTCGACGACGACTGGGGACTGGATGTTCCAACTTTGGACCTGACGTCCTGATCTCGTGCACATCTTGATCCTCGTCTGTACATGTCCATTTACAACCCATTCTATTCCCAACTCGACCATTACTAGCTTTATTCTATACATATCCTTCGCAAGGCATCTTTTGTCGAGGACCAAATAGCGAATCCCATCTCAGTGTTGGACAGGGTCAAAAAGTCTTGGCTTATCTCACTCACTCGCTTGACCACCACCAGACTGCATCCATATCATATGCAAGCACTTTAACGGTACCTCTTCTTGAGAAAGGTACTCTCTCCCCCTCCGGATTCAACCTTAGCGCCCGAACGCCCCCCCCGCTGCCGCATTCCATCCCATCGAAGGAACGGTACAGTACATCCATCCATCCCATCCACCACCACCCATCCACAGCATCATCCCAGAGAGTGCCCCATCTTTCACCTCGACATCTCAAGACACCAGGTCCACCACATCCACCAAAGGACCCTGATATCTTGACCAAACCACCACGACTACCCCCGGCGCATAACCAGCAAAGCCAGGCGACCACGATAGCAACTTGAAAGGAAGAGCGCTGACCCGTTCTCCCCAAAGCGCAAGCAGGCAATTGGCTTCAATCGGTGTTGCGACCATTGCGATTGCTGCCTTGCGCCCTCCTCCCGTCTCCTCCCACTTCGATCCGATGCAGTCACTCTTCACCGTCAACAACAACGTATCACTTATCAGCTTAACCATTGCCCCAAGTGCCTGGGTCGCCTCTTTGGCCGTCCTCCTCTTCTTCCTCTACTTTTACCTGCCGCAACTCGCTTCACTAAAGGCCTTGTTCTTCCGAGTCAACTTCCTCGACAAAGCCAAAGGCAGCCATCGCAAACACCAGGTCGGCGCATACTCGACTGCGCCTAGAGACCCACGATATCGAGAGGGGATCGAAGAGATAAACCGTCGGAATTGGAATCGCAACTATCATCAGCATCAGTATCGCGACGGCGACTACGACGACGACGACGACTACTATCAACAGTATCAGTATCAACAACAGTATTATCCAGACCACGACGGCGCGCAAGGGATAGAAAGAAAGGAACTACATTACCGACAACGTCAACAGAAAGCCATCGCCGATAAGCAATTGCCGGCGCTGTTAGAGTTCTTTGGCAGGAAGAAAAGCAACGACAGCAACATTAGCAGTGACGGAATCAGTCCTACTAACAGCCCAAAGAGGTTGACCAAAGAAAGAGGCAAGGAAAAGAGTGGAGGACTTTCATCGTTCGGGCGCAAAATCATCTACCGCACCAGCAGAGATTCTTCACCGAGTCCAGCCACCAGCAGCACCATCGCGCGCCACGTCATCAGCTACGGCCCGCGCCCAATCTTTGCCAACTATGACAGCGGCAACGGCGGCCCCGCTGAAGAACCTAGGGCATCTCGACCACCTTCTCGACGATTCACTGGAGGACTTCGAGCACTGTCACTCGCTCCCAGTAAGCCGGTCCAACAGCCGGTTCTTCAGCATCCCCCTCCCGACTACTTCGGCCAAAGGCGAAACTCCGCGCCCCCAGCATCCCCATCATCCCCACCAGCAGGCGACACCGTTCGGGTACCCCTCAGTGCACTCGGGTTTCCGGAGCGACGACACGGAGAGCGACATGAGCGACCAGGAGGCGGATGGCGGGGAAACGTCACACGGTGGCTACAGCCCGCCAGCCTGGAGGCGCCTCGGCAACGGCGACCGCAGCAGCGGCTTCTGGCGCAAGGCTAATTCGCATCTCAACGACATCGACCCGCTCTTGTTGAACGGGTTTGGCGGTCTCGGTGGCGGACTAGGGAACGGCGGATGGTCAAGAGAGTTCGAAACCAGTCCCGAGTATGATAGCATGAATGAAGACGATATGGACCAGGACGCGATCCTGCAGAAAGCCATTAGGACAAGGCTACCAACGGGAAGCTTGAGTCCCGAAAAGGAGAGGAGTCCGGAACCAGAATATGCGCGGCGTCAACAGTTGCAAAAGCAGGCCGAACTGCGCCAGCAGCAACACCAGAGGTTAGCGCCGGTAATCGAGGAAGACGATGTCAAGATCAAGGAAGAGCCGATGGAGGAGGATGCGGGCATGGTTTTGAGGGGGTTGCCTCGTAAGGGCCCTGACAACTGTTCGTTTTTTGATTCCTTTGTTCCCTTTCATCATCTTCCACCATCCACCTTCATAGTCCCAACAAATGAAAGATCCATCATGACATAAGAAAAGTAAGACAATCTGAACCACGGAACCACGGCTAACTCCGTCACTTTTCACTTCGTTGTAGACTTCCGCTTCGCGGTCAGGGCAGAAGTCCATCAGCGCACAGAACCCATTGAAACAGCTGTTGCTTTCTTGCGAAAATGGCTCGGCCCGCTAACCAGGTCATGGTCCTCCATGTTCCTGTCCGGGCTCGTAGCCATTCTCTCCTATGCCGCCATGCGCTCGCTCTTCCAGCCGGCGTCCATGAGCCCCGTGCCTGACCTCGTCAAGGTGGCCGGTGTGGCGCGCTCCTTTGAGCCGCTCATCTACTACTCGGAGAACGGCATCCAGCAAGTGGGCGACCTGCAAGCGACGGGCGTGGCGGTCTGGGATCTAGGCGAGAGCGTTAGGAGCAGTAACCTCACATCGGCGCCGATTATCGTCAAGGAGCTGGACGAGCTAAGCGAGAGCCTCAAGACGTTGGCTATCGAACTTACCAAGTTCTTTGCCAACGTAGACGGTGACATCGACGGGTATGGTTTTTTTTCCTCCCATCCCATCCCCCCAAACCAAATCCGCCACTAACATCCCCGGAAAAAAAGCATCCTAATAGTAATGGACTGGGCCCGCCGCGAGCTCTCCCAACTGCAACACCTTCCCTCCCCGCCCCTCTCCTCCTTCTTCGACAACATGCACAACATCCTCTCCACCTTGGGAATCCTCGAAGACCCCTCAACCTCCCAACCCACCCGCCTCGGCCTCCTCGCCACTTCCTTATTCGGCCCCTCCACCCCGCAACGCACCCGCACCACCCTCCAGCGCACCTTCAACGAGTTCCTCGCCGTCCTCGAAGAAGCCATCACCAACGAGCTACAACACTCCCTCGCCATATTCGCCTTATTCGAAGCAATAGACCACCAATTCCTCAACCTAGCCCGCACCGTCGTCCGCGAGTCCTCCTTGCAAGAATCCCTCCACGCCGATTTATTGTCATCGCTATGGACTCGCATCCTGGGCGCCAAAGCGAGTGATATCCAGAAATACGAACGGAATCGCTTACTGCTGTTGAACGTCAGGGAGAAGACGGTTCGCAACAAGGGGATTTTGGTGGAACATAATCATAAATTATTAGCATTAAAAGCGAGTTTGGAGAATTTGAGGAGAAAGTTGGTTAGTCCGCTTGTGAGGAGCGTGAATAGCTCGACGTTGACGGTTGATGAGCAGATTAGGGGGTTGGAGGATGTGGGGCTTTATCTCGAGGGTGTCAGGACTAGGCAGAAGGGAAAGTTGATGGAGATGTTGTATGGTGGTGGTTATGGTGGAAATGGAGGGTACAGGGCTGGGAGTACCCTGGAGGGACAGCAGCAAGGGGGAGGGTATGGAGGGTATGGGGGGCAGTATGGAGGAGGGTATGGAGGAGGGCAGCATGGAGGGGGAGGCGAGCAGAGAGAGGTGAGGTTGGTTGCTGATGCTGGTGGTCATGGTCATCATGGCAGTGCAAGTGGTGGAACTACGAGGAGTATGCATGAGGGGCAGCAGCATCATAGGGGGGGAGCAATGAGTCACGCTGAGGTGACGGGAAAGGTGTTTGGTTTTTGAAAGGTTTGTATGGAGGTATGGATGACAAGGTGCTATGGACTGGACTGGACATGGACATGGAATTTGGAAGGAATGGGACGGAACAGGATAAGGACGGTGGGAGGGAACATCAGCATACTCGGTGCTTAAGGTGTACTCGGTGTACTTGGTGTACTAGGTGTACTAGGGTGTTTGGGTGAACCGGATACGGATAGGGCTTTGGCTACAGCTACACCGGGACGGAGCATTGGTCGGTGGTCTGGATTCTGGCTTTTTTGCGTCTGTTTTACGGTAAGTGAAGAAAGGGCCAGTTGGTCTGCGCTTTTCATCATAGGATAGGGGATGGGTTTTGTCAGTTTTTCGGTCTTTTTTGTTTGTTTGCCTGAATGATTGTCTCTCAATTTCTTTCAGTGTTTCCTTTGCCTTAGTTGATAGCATTATTACTGGACATTCATTCACTCATTTCAATATGGATACTACGGATACTTCAAGTGGTCATCAATCAATTTCGCTTCTGGTGAAAATCAGTTGCTTCATGCTTTACGTCCCTGAAAGACTTGATAAACCAACCGTCTGAACGCCAAAGTCAAACCATCCCATTCCATCGCATCTCTTTAACAACCGCAGATATCAGTAGACCAGTCCTTTCCACGCACTCACACTGCATGTTCTTCCGCGGTACTATCTGTCTGTCTGACTATACTCGCGCGTTTACATCTCAGAGCTTGCCTCGTAAGCTCAACTCAAATTAAACCCAGCCCCACTCTTAACCGCATAGAGCAACTTCTCCTTCAGCCTCCTCTTACTCCGATACTGCGGCAGCTTCAGCAAATTAACACACGTACTCGCGCTCGGCAGCCGCTCCTGATCCCGCCCAGCATCTCTAATCGTAAACCTCGGTCTCAACTGCCCGAATCCCAGCAGCGGGGCTCTCGGCGTGCTCGTCACATATTTCAGCACCTCCCTCCTCTCCTCGTCTCTCAGCTCGTGCATCACCTCCCAGAAGATCTGGATGGTCTCGTGTTCCTCCCCGTCGTCGCCGATCTCGTACACGCCGTTATAGTACGTGTTACGCCGGAGGTCTTCGACGTCGATTTCGGAGGAGTCGCCGCCTACGAGCCGTTGGAGCTCGAGTTGGTTGAACATGGAGAGCCAGGAGGGGTCGATGATGGAGCCTAGACCGCGCAAAAAGGCGCGCGTTTGTGGGTAGGGTTGGCGGACGAGGCGGTGGCGGGCTACGTAGGAGATATAGAGGGGTCGGTTCTCGTTGGTGACGGGGATGGATTCGCCGTTGGGGATTAAGGGCCGGATGATGGTACGGGTGGGTTCGCCGGGAATATTGATAGGGTCCGTGATGGTAAAGTCGAGAGCTAGATCGGTTTGGATGTCGCCGGTGTAGTTTTTGAGCTTGAGCATGCCTTGGTAGAGCTCCTCGTCGAGTTCGCGAAGGTCGTTGATGTTGGCGCGGTAGCCGCCGGTGGCGGAGGCAGATGCGGGTGAGTTACTGCCGCCACCTGGGGTGTCGTTGGCGGCGGCCCATTTGAGGAGGAAGAAGCCGGCGAAGACGATATCGATTAGGATTCCCTCGTACATGCATTTTCCGATGACTCGGCCCAGGAATTCGTATTCCTTGAGTGTCCTTTCAACAGCAGCCTGTGTCTCCTCCGGTTCCCCGGTCCACATGTGTCTGATCCGATCAATAAGGGTGGGATTGGGGTAGTAGGCGTTCTTGCTGTTCGTGACAAAGAGTTCAGTGTGAGTGAAGGCTTCCGTGGTCACGCTGTCGAGAAATTCCTTGGTGACGCCGCCTCCATCGATACCCGCCTCCTGCATTCCGAACTCGTCTTCAAACGTGACCTGGATTGGCTCTTTGAGTCCTTCGCCCAGTGCCCACAGCTGTTTCATAGCATCCTCAAAAACTCGGCCTCTCCGGATCTTGGCCGAGTGTCTACCCAAGGGGTGCTGGGGACCAAAGCTCCTGTTTATCATATGGGCTCTCCACATGTCTGGGTCGCCATTTCCTCCGCGTCTGCGCTGCTTGTCCAATTGAATGAACTGTCGGAAGATCTGAACGCGCGTCTCAAATGGGATAACAAAAGGCATATTGCGCAGGATCTCAAGCTTCGGAGTTATCGCAGACATCAAGTGATTGCGGGCGCGCTTCTTATTCTTTTGCCTGAGGTTCTCAAGCTGCGCATAGTGAGACCATCCTTCTTGATCATCCTCCGAGCTGTCCTCGCCATCTTCGTTGTTCCTCAGCTCGTGTTGTCTTTGCTCTTCAAGAACCACAGCCGCAAGAAATCCCTCCATGTCGAACTTGGATGTCATCAGCCAGTGGCCTTCGGGCAAAAATGGTCGTCTTGAGTCCCGCTCGTAAAGCATCTTCATGGCTGTCGTAGCTAAGTCTCTGAGCGTAGTAAAGTCGACCCCGGCGGGAGGAAGGAAGCTGTCGGCCTTGGAAGCTTGAGCGCCATCGCCTCTCGGGCGAGTCGAATTTCGCTTTTCGGTCCAAGGGCTGTCAGTCAGTAGCTCTTCAGCGTTGTAGTACATTGTGAAACTGAGGTGCTTGAGAAATTGCGTCAAGAGCTTCAGTTCACCGAGCGACATGGACGCCAGACGCAGTCGAGAGGAAGGGCCGCCGAAGCCATGGTGGGGGTTTAGGGCGCTGAAGAAGTCATCGTCGTCCATGAGCCGCAAAACGAAAATGAAAGATTCGAGGAACAAAAGAACGGTTTTCCATTCTCGATGCCACACCATTTCAGCTGCTGGTGATGCTGGCTTGCGTCGAAGGAATTCGAGTGTAGAGTTTTTACTTGGCGCGATATCGGAGAACACGGACGTCTTCTGTGTGGCATTCCAGAAGTACTTGGCCGCTGGGACACCACCTTCAGCAGTTGCGATATCAGCCACATAAAGGTACATGCGAATATCCTCGCTAAAAGCAGGGAAGATGTTGATCAACGTAATGATGAAGCCAGCCAGGTGACTGGCGTCGTCATCCGCTGAAGTAGATGTCTTCCCGGTAGTTCTACGGTTGTTAGCGCTTGAAATCAGCAAAGGGCGAAGAACACTTACGCAGTAAAAGCACTTAGAAGGTCTTGGATGGCTCCTTTACCAACTAGCGACTGAAGCTGTTGTCGGACGAAAGGGGGCAGAGCGTCTGTTCCATCTTGCTCGGATTCGGAAAAGTATTCCGATCCTTTTGGCCGAACAACAGCAAAACCTGACCTTATTTGAGCCGAACACAGAGGGAAGAGTGATTCTAGGGTCTTGATCAATAGAAGCCGTGAGGTTTGTTGCTCCTTCGCCCCCTTAATGGCAATGTAGTGTGCGATCAGCCAGAGGATAGCGTTCGGATCATGCTTTTGAAGCTTATGCGAGAGGTCAATGATATAATTCGACAGCCGATCTAGGTCTATGCTGTCGGCTAGTCTCGTCAACAGATTCGAGCATCGCGCCAGGTCGGGTTGTGTCAGAACAGAAACAACCAAGTTTTGGTAGGCTGTATGTTTGATGGAATCTAAATAGAAACGGACGACCACAGTTAGTCAAAGAAGCTTTCTTGTACGATGGGGAGAGTCCAAAGGAATGGTACATACCTAAACCGTGGGGTACATCAAGCGGTGCAACCACGAGACTGCAAATTATCTCTTGGGTAGAGGAGGGCAAACCAGTCTCCTGGCATAACCTCCCAAGCACGTTGTACCACTGTCCCAGAGTTTGTTCAAACGTTTTGAGGTCTGACGCCTTAGTCCCGATCGCACCAAGGGCTCGTAGAAAAAGAGCCACCTCGTTCTGCTCGTTCTCGAGATCGCACCTATCCAGATGTCACCTTTGCATTAGCATGATTGAGCAGCTGTGAAATGATAATTTGAAACCAAGGGCATGAACTGCTCACCTCGTCAAAGCAGCAAGCAGTATCCGTATTAGCTTGCCCACTCTGACCAAATCTACCACTCCCGAGCTAAAGGCGATGAAGTCTGTTTGAAAGCAATCCTGGGTGACCAAAGCTAGCCTATGACGGTCTTGTACGTCGAAGGCCTGGAAGGTAGCAAACACCAAAGGCAATGCCTTTGCTGACCTCTGGCTAGCATCCACGGGTTGGGCTTCGTACAGACGATCGATAGCCTGGCGCCGCTCATCTCGTAGGTTCCGTCGCACGCGATGTGCCCTCCATGTTCGCTGTATCCGTTGCGCCGCCCTGATCCGATCTCTTTCGTGCTGTCTTTGTTGACGTTCTGCTTGGGCATGCGCTACTGTTTTGGAAGCCCCAGCTGCTGAACTGGCGCCCCATGACGTGCTGGTGAAAGGGTTACTGGTCCGTTGACCGCTGAGGTTGACATTTCGACCTTTTCTCGAGTTGCCAGTAAAGGTGGGAAACATGACTAGTGACCCGAGTGTTTGGTCTGATATTCGAGATTCCCCAACACTAACACGGAAGGTCGGAGGGAGGGCGAGTGGCGAGAGTCTTTTGAAAGCTTGGGTCGAGGATTGCGCAAATCAGATGGATATTATATCGAATACGTATTATTTACAGTTGAAAAGAGTCGTGCTGCGGTGTAGATATTCGAGCTTGGACTTGGAAGGTCGTACGAGCTGGGGTCTCCGGGCTGGAGGTGTTGTCTTGCAGTTGGTTGTCGTGCTTCTCACGGTGTGGTTGATGTTCGGTGTTTGACTGCTTTGGTTGGATCGACGGTTGCTCATGGAGTATGGCAGTGACGGGATGGCAGTGATGACGGGATGATGACCGGCTACTTGACAGTTGCTGGGTTGGAAGCAACATCCCCGCTGTATTTGCGTACCTTCTTGCGGTGCAGACGCTGTAATGGTACCTGCACAGTCAGCGGATTGCTACGGCACTTGCATCTGCCCAAGTACTTCACTAACAAAGCATCACTAATCCAAGCGACCTAAAGACTGGTAGGTAGCTGTTCTAGAAAGTTCAGTCGCTGGCCACCAACCCAAATATCTCTTGGTAAGCTGAACCAAGTCATGGGACATGTATTTCAATACTGACAGCACATTTGTTTGAGGACTAGATGGTAAACACAGGTCCATAACCCCAGGGATCTAATGTTGATAGAGAAATGTTGGAGGAGAGGCGTGTTGGAGGCTTGACAAACTTGAGAATCAATACTGACTGGCGCTGAGCATCAAAGGTACCTAAACAAGGTACTCAGGTACGGAAAGGTAAAGGTACCTTGAAAGATGACCCCTCTTTCTCCTCGTTATCTTATCGCTCGGGGCACCTGTGCTCAAGCAGGGCATCGATGGCATGGGATCTGGGACATGAACGACAGACATGTAAACCAACACGGGGAATTATGAGAATTGAGAGGACATGGATTAACGAGGAGAATTAATAGTTCTGTAAGAATTTCAGTACAAGAGAACTATCTAGTTCTAATCATGTTCCTGGCTTGTTGTCATACCTCAGTCGCAAAGGGATCGTACCTTACCTTTAACATGGAAATGCACGATAACGATAAGGACGGCTTCCATGGTGGATGGCCCTTGCCCCACAAACATGGAGGCCACAGAGGTCAAACAAGCCCTGGCAAGGCTAGGCCGGGGCAGCCAAGCAACGTCGTCAGATGCTTTGCTCCCGCCTTCCTTCCATTTCACTTGACTTCATGATTGATTGAGGGGCCGTGCCAATGCTGCACGCTTTGTCCCGCGATAACAATGAGAGTCTTGATATAGCGATATCTGCATATCAATCCTTTCCTGTTCCATCTGAACTCAACCGGACACAAGGCAAGAGGTACTGCCACACTTGGAATTGGCGTGAAAGGTACCTCAGCAATAGAAGGAACAACTGGTTCGGGTGTTCGTATGAATTTTGGACGGCAGGCACTTGGACCAATCACCACAACAACACCGACCTCAACAGATCCATATGGCGTATATGCTACCTAGGCGTGTAGAGGATGTGTAACTATGCTCGAACTGCTCGAGTAAGATATTCCAGACTTTTTGCCGCTGGCTAACAAACGTAGAATTGCAACATCCTGGCATATGGCAGCTCATCCAGCCAAGTTGCCCCATCCAAGGTTCCGTGCGCGGCATGCCAACAATGTCTTTCCCATTTTGTAACCAGATGGAAATATTGGGGGTTGCCCGCTGGGGGTAAACCGGAGTGAAGGTATTTTTTT